TTTCGAGAAGAGAAGTACATGACGTTTATTGTGCTTCAAGGGGTATATACCTTTCTTTAGAAAGACGAGTCCTATGCACACCTTTCCATGACCCAAATGAGAATTGAAAATTATTTCCAACACTCCGTTCAACCCATATTCGAGACATACATGTCTGGACGTATTCAGACACTCAGAATGACAGTGAACTTAGAAGCAAGCGATTTGTTACATGAGATGGCAACCAATTGTAACATATCTTTTGCAGATCTTAAGGTGAACAATTCATCACACTTTGGAGAGCTGTTTGAATTTGGCCCCCTGAAAACACCACAAATGCTCGAGTTTGGGTGGGAATGGATGATCCAAAAAATCATTTCGGAGAACTTAGTGACTCCGTCACAAATCACACAACAGTTCATTGAACGACTTTCAAGTTTTAATTATACCGACTACGTTATCGAAATGAAGTTGTTGATTGACAGCGCTGAGAAGAACAAGTATCACAGGATTTTCGACATTAACAAAATCCTTCCGAAGAAGAAAAACAATTCAGTTGACTTGAAGAAGCGATTGTACGAAGTTGTTGTGACACCGTTTCAAACCAAATTGACTCCGTTCAGGGTGAGGACGTACTCCGGAGAGACTTACGAGCACAACGAAGTTTACAAGAAGATCACCGATGGGTCTGGCGATGTCGTAATAGTTCGGTTTGATTCGGAAGACATGATGGTGAATGACTTCTTAGTCTCTGTGATGAATCATTATGTGAATCTGCCTTATACAATGTTTTTGAGTGGGACGAAGTACAAAGTGTATTCATTCTTATTGGGCACTTCGAGTGTGGTATTTGTGAAAGAAGGTGTTGATATCAAAATGGAGCGTCGGGACATAGCGTTCAGTTTTTTGAGGGATATGGATGAGATGTGGAAATTCAATTATGTCTTAGATGTCTGTCTCGAGAAGTTAAAAACGTCTCAGGACAAAGACTGTTGTGTTGAAATAGTGCGTGACTATTGGCCTGATGTGAAAAGTCTTTTCATGTTATACAGCAGTGATCCTCTCGACGAACAACTCAAGTTTGATGTTTTGAGGTACAACAAAATCTTTTTGTATGACAAATACAAAGTCCGAATGCAAGACAAGTGGATCTGTGACAATAACATTATTAAGTTGAAAAATGACTTCTTTTCGGACTTTTCATCGAGGCCAGAGAAGATTAAAGTCGTTGGAGAAGTTAGACTGAGTGTTACCCTCTCCAAGATCCTCTCTTTGTTTTCTTTTGATCCAAGTCTCAAAAGTATCTTATTAAAACCACGTGTCGATGTGTTAGATACACTGACATATGACTTGTATAATATAGTTCAGTATATCAAGAAGACAAAGCCACAAGGGTTAATGAACATATCGTATTGTGCGCCTAAAAAGTGATTGTTTTGTACCACTTACTAGTTAAACTAATAACCAAAAACAAAAGACTTACTTCCCAAATCTCTTGTTGAACTGTTTGCAGTTGCTCAGTTGCTTAACGACTAAGTCGACAATAATCTTCTCCGTCTCTTTCTTCCCACCAAACATCTGCTTTTTGGCCTTTTGCGCTTTCGTGGCCTTTTTGCACCTTTTCAACTCTTTGACAACTAAGTCGACCACCTTCTTCTCCGTCTCTTCACTCCCTCCAAAGTACTTAATATTCTTCTTGGGGAAAATTTCGTTAATCATTACACTCTTTTTGACGGGTGTACCTTTGTAAGTGCCCCTAACTTCCTGTCTAGTTATGTATTTAAGAACCTCCTTGTCGTTTCTAAGTCTGTCACGTAAGACCAAAATGACGCGCTTCAAGTTTTTGATCCGCTTCTCGATGCGCATGTTCTCGATGAGTTTTGTGTTCATGGGTTCGGGAAGGATGTTGAGAGTTTTCTTAATCAAAGTGATTAACTTGATAACGCGTTTCACAGTGACAATTTGGTATTTGTACAGTCTGAGTTTGGCCTCGACCAAGTTGTTTCTGTCTGTTGCGCTTAACGTCTTATTCTCTTCTTTCGACAAGTCCTCAATGCGCACAGAAATCTCTGTAGTGATTTTTTTGAATTGCTCGACACGGGCTTCGAGAGCAGACACACGCTTTTGAATCCGTTTGATCTCAGTTTGTGGAATGTCACCGACACACTTCTCTCCTATCGTCGAATTTGTTGGTATTATCTCAGAGGTTTTCGTCACTGTTATTTTGACCGCCGAACTCGTTAAAACAAAAGCCAATAACAAAATTGCGTTCATGTTGTAAATTATGATTTTTATCAGTTCTTTTGTTTTTTTCTTTCAAGTTTTTTGTAGTTCTTTAATAACATTTTTCATTGGTGGATTGAATTTTGTTATATTATTATTTTTATTAGAGAATAGTATTATTTATTATAATTACTAAATACAAAAAGTGTTTAATATAATAATAATAAATAATCTATTTGTTATGGTATTTTGAATCCTTTGACATTTTATTATTTAAATATAATATTTTTAAATAAAATATTAGTATATTTGAATAATTGAAATATACTATAATTAATGATAATTAGTAGTTAAGTGAATTTTTTGAAAACGTCAACAAAACAATTTTGTTGCAAAGTATAAACAACCCCAAAATGTCTTTTTTGTTTTATACAAAATGCATTGAACAAAGTATTAAATAAAAAAGTACTCTACAAATTCAGTTTTTATATGGACAGCATCCTGTTAACCCCACGACGTTCTCGCGCACCAATAACAAGACGAGCGCCTACAGACTTGACACTTAATGTGTTATACATTGACTCTTCGGACTCAAGAATGACTAAAACCGACCGCTTCATCACACATTTACTAACCGACTGTTCTGCTAACATTGCAGTTGTCTCATCAACGAAACCAGTCTTCTCATACACTAAAGCACACCTTTTAATGCTCCAACGAAACAACATTTTATTTCCAAAGTCTCAACCACAAGTCCCACGAACGCCAAGAACACCAAAAAAGGATGAAACAATAGTTGTTGATTTCACAAAGAAGTATACCAATCAAATTGACTACTCAAAGTACTTAAATGCACAAATCAAAATTTTCCAACAGTACTTTGTTGCTTATTCTCAACGGGAATTAACCACGTTGTACACCTCAATATACTCGATACCACCTCGCATAGACAACGGCGACATGGTATTGTTCTCTCAGAATGATTCCGAGATGAAGAAGAGGCTGATGAAGCTCGACGCCAATTTTTTGATGCTCGCAAAGGTTAACAAACAAATCGACTGTATCATTTACTTATCATCCCCAGTAGTTGTCCAAAAGCAGCCATTAACCCTTTCAATAAACTCCACGTATACAATCCAATTTTCAGAACAAGAGACGTTCGAGTCGTGGAGTAAATTACTGAAAAAAGTGCAGCCGTGGTATGTCACTTTACTCAGACGATTCATTCGCGCAGAGGTCTCTCAGTTTGCAACAACACCAAGGAGAAAGACGGGACCAAATGTCCCAAAACTCTTCAAGCAACCTTCTCTGCAAATTATACCTCAATGCTCCTCACCAAAATTAAAAGGGTCGTCGCCACTCGTCTCCCCACGAACTCAAAAAATACTGTCACTCCGCTTTTCAAAGAAAGAGCGAAACAAAAACACCAAAATAGTTGGAGTCTCGTTGGAACAAATTGCAACACATCACCTTGCACTCCCAGAGAATGTATTAACTCTCATCAATTACATCAAAAACCGGTGTCTTAACGTGGAGGGCATATTCAGAGTTAATGGGAGTAAAGAGAAGATAGAGACAATAGCAGACATGCTCGACAACAAAGTTCTAGACAACGAAATGCTCTCTCAGTTTGATGTCTTCTCTGTTGTTGGTGCACTGAAATATTACATCAAAGTAATGCCGACTCCGGTGATCCCCGCAGATATCAATGACAAGTTGTTACAAGTCTGGAATGGTTTGTTCTCCTTTCAATCTATTATTATGATCTACTCTTATATTATGTGTCACATTGATCAAGAAGAAAGTAACACACAGCAAAACAAACAATGACTTCCGAAAGACTGTTGAAAGAGTTTGTAGCAATCTTTGTGTTGATGCCAGAGATGAGTCTCTTGTTTTTGAATGAAGTTCTTGGGCTTTTAAAAACCGTCTCGGACAACAAAGAACAGACGAAGATGACTGTGGAAAACTGTGTGACGTGTATACAACCATCGTTGAGGGGGTATCCATTCATTTACAGTTTCGCGATCCAAAACTACGACGCGATATTTGGGCCGAATGTGTAATGTAATTTAATGAGTCAATTAACATTTTTGGTTTGGTCGACACGAGCGATGAACTCTGTTGGTACCCACCCACGCTTTCCACCAAATTCAACAGGTGACCATCCACTCGAACTTGTTCCAAGGAGAATCATGTACTCGGATTTTCTAAAGCTTAACACGCCAGGATCACTGCTACGGAAGTCAATAACGGATTGCACAAAGTACTCTCCCTCATATAACCCATCTTCATCAGTTTTATTGTCCTTGGCTTTTGCTTTTACTTTTTTCTCGGGAGCTTTGCCTTGCGCTAATTTGATAAGAGCAGAGAAACCCTCTCTCCAATATTGCCCTTCCTCTTCACCTTCAGCTAGAAGCTTTTGGGTGTGTTTGCCATACTTGAATTGGAACCCATATCGCTTTTTATCGGAATCTTCCGACTTTGTACGAACTACCTTAAGATCAGTGACTTCTTTGAAGTCAATGGAAGAAGAAGGCTTTGTCGCTTTTTCATTGGAATAACAGTCGAGTACAGTGGGCGTGGCATAGCTGTTCTGGAACCACTTTTTGTTCCACCCTTTTGTCCCGCTTGTTTCCTGTCTTGTCAGAAATCCACGCAAAAGTGGCACGTCGTAAGCGTATTGTGTTGTCATCTTTGAAATGATAGTGTCTGATTTTTATTCTTGTGATTCTTGTGTTTTGCCTAGTACTATTGTTTTACTAATTTTTATTCACATCTGCATAGGAAAAAAGAAAAAAGGCGTTGTTTGCTCGTTTTTTATTCGTTTCAAATAGCATAAAGAATTCTATTTTAAATTGGCCGAGTTCTCTGCAAACAATGGGAAAGTTGGGAAAAAGAAATGTAGTGCATTTGCGACAAAGTGGTAGAAATAATTGTTCTCAAGAAGCAAAAAATTGTTTTGGCTCAAAAGGATTTTTTTTAAAGTTTTTTAATAATTTTGTAGTATTTCTAAATCAGTAACTATATGTGTAATTACAAGAATTATAGACTAACTATATAATATAACAATGAAAATAGTAAGTTTTATAGTTTGTAAGAAAGCAAAATTTAATTCACAATTGAAAAGTATTTTTAAAAATACAAAAAAAAGATGTTATAAAAGTTCATTTGAAATAAAAAGTGTCAATAAATATAGTTTGAATATAATATAATTTTAATAAAACAATTTAATACAATACTTTTAGGATAAAATCACCAATTCATTTACCTTTACACAATTATTCAACAAAAATATCAATTTATTTGTTATAATAATAATAAAAAAACAAAATGTTGGGTGTTATTATTTCTCATTGAAACCTTCTTACAGATAGAGTTTTTATTGAGTGTCAGAAATTTGAGGATTGATTGGTGTAAAAATTCGGGTTTTAATTTTTTGTTTTTTATTTGTTTTTTTCTTGATAATAATTGATATGAAAATGGGTGCCAAACTCATTTTATTTCTTAAAATAATTATGGCACCCAATAAATACTCGATCTGTAATTGAATATGTTTGATCTTTTTTGCTGATAATATTCTTTGAAGATGATAATTGTTATTATTTAGAAATAAAACAGAAATAAACAACTCTTCATTCCCATTTCAAAGTTTTCTAGTTGAAAACACCATTTTTTAAATAATTTATTTCAAAAATATATCGGAATTCATATCGATCTTTAAATATCTCAAAATCCACTTTGAATATTCAAAATGAAACTATTAAATTCCGTTATAATCACACAGAGTAAACAAGTTTTAAAACAACAAACTCAATTATCCATAAAACTCGTCACCCCACTCGTCGTTTTTAAACTCCAATTTCTGGTGTCTGAACAAGAAAATAAGCACAACAAATCCAACAGCCGCCGCAATTAAAGTAAAGACAATTGGCATAAGCAACATCCCCAATGACTGCATAAATGGTTTGTACACCGAGTCTTTACACCAGACTGTCTTTGCATCTGATTTCCATTTACAATAAAATTCGCCTTGTTGTTGTGTTGTTTCATTATCGAATCCGCAACACGCAAATTCGAACTCAATTTGTGTCTTCAAGTCGTTTTCATCCTCGTCCTCGCGATATTGAAACATCCCTTGTAGCGAGTCTCCAGAGTCCACCAACATCGCAACAACAAACGTCCCCACTGTGATGCCAAACAAAAAGATGAGTAATGAAAGGATGATACCCAATAACGTAACTCCTCTATTATTAAAGAGGAACACAAGCATTACAACAAAGCAGTAAGCCAACACAGCAATCCCTAATAATATCACAAAGCAAATGGTCGACAAGTTGAGTGTGAAATTAACGTCGAACGTTGACCCAGACTTCACCCCCACAATCAAAGTCTTATAAAAGAACAGTATGATCCCACTCCTGTAAATTAATGACACCCCAAAACACACTAAAAAACATGCAAATAACACGACAATAACAATCATTTACTTTTTCAGTTCCTCTTTAAAAGTTCCGTATTCACTCTGGCGAAAGTCGTTTGTCTTTCGGTATTAACCCCGGGTCGTTCTGTGGTTCTCTTTTAATGGGTTGTCGTTGCTACTATTTAGTATACAACCAATATATAAGTAATAAGAAATAGAGAAGATACAACACACTTGAAGTAATATGATGAGAACAAACATAAAATCCATCTTGTGAAGGGGATCCGTCGCGATATTCTTCGACCCTCCCAAAGGTAAAACCGTCTTGTTGAGCGCCTCTGAATTGTTCTTTCTTATCCTTTTGTTTCCTTTGGTCGATTTGTTGATAATCTCTTCTGTCACTGTACTGTGGCGGTGGGGCATAGTCTGGTCTTGGTTGTCCTCTTTGTTGTTCTTGTTGTTGTTGAGGTATTGGTGGGAATAATTGTTGTGAAGGTGACGCTTCGGGTTTGTCGGGCTGTTTGTCTTGTTGTGGTTTTTCAGGTTGTTCGATGTCGATCATATTTTCAGTCACGTTATTATAGTCATCGTTCGAAAATGAAACAAATTTGTTTTTGAATTGGACAAACTCTAATAGAGTCTTTTTAATATCAGAAGTGCTGTATACAACCAACTTCTCATCTTTAAATACCATCAAAGAAACTTGGCAATCACATAATATACTGAGTTCCATGGCTTTTTTAATAAGCCCATGACGGCGTTTCTGGAATGTGGTCTGTCTCTTTCTTTCGTTATCTATCTTCTCTATTTTGATTTTGTTACGTCCCATCTCTACTCTTTTATTTTGTAGTTCTGGGTTATCTCTTTTTGCTCTTTTTGTTTTTGAAAATGTTTATTTATTGAATATCTCAATATAGATATATAGTATTTGAAATAATAACAAATATTAAAGTTATTGTTTATTTTCTTGTATTCAATTTCAGGAAATGTAAAATAGTGTTTCTGGTTTTTTTCGTTCTTTTACTAATATTTTGTTCGATTGAACAGAAAGCCAAACAAAATATCTGTATGTCTGTTATTATTTGGGTTAGAGTTTTAATAGAATGAATTTATTTTAAATAAAACCATAAGTAATATCAATTGATTTAGTGGAACATCTGCAACATACGGTGTGTAATAAAGAACCCACCAAACACGTTCAAACAAGCAATGAAGACAGCCAAACATCCAACAACAGTCACGCAGATATAGTAGATAAGTCCTTCGTCTTTCATTGGTGTGAGGTAAATGTTAGTAATACCACCGACGGCAATAATACCCGAAATAGCATTAGTAACGGACATCAATGGTGTGTGGAGAGCAGAAGTGACGTTCCAAATGACGTAGTACCCGACAATGATAGCAAGCACAAACGACATAACAGCTGTAACGAACATTGAAGGCATGAACAACATGAAAATGACCAACAGCAGCAAACAGATCACAGACACAATCGTTCCGGTGTACGACTTCTTTTTCTGTTGTTCTGGTTCAGCAGCGACTGCAACTGATGGAGCAGCAGTTTCTTTCTTTGGTGGTTGTTGTCTAATTTCCATTGGTGGGGCAGGGTACATGTTTTGTCCAGATGAGCAGACAGTCATTTGTCTTTGGATGACATCATCAGACTTAATAACAAACTCAGTCGCCTTCTTGCAGACATGATTCATAAAATTGAAAATGTTCTGTGCGTACAACTGCGAAGCTTGCGGGGCCATTCTCACAGTGAAATCAACTTGACCAATAACAGTGACTTTGTTGTCATAAACATACGTCTCACCACTTCTTGTAACCTCGCAGTTCCCTCCATTCGGAGCAGCAAGATCAACAATAACTGACCCAATCTTCATCGAGTCAACCATGTCTTGTGTGACAAGAATTGGTGCCGTTCTGCCCGGGATGTTGGCTGTGGTTACAACAATATCCATCTCTGGCAAGATTTGTCTAAACAAGGCATACTCAGCATCAATGAATTTCTGTGACGCAGCTTTGGCGTAACCAGTGTTCTTGTCTTCTGAATCTTCAATAACAGAAACAGTGCAGAACTCAGCACCGACAGACTCTGCTTGTTCTTTGGCAGCAGCCCTCGAATCAAATGCCTTGACCTGTGCGCCAAGGGCTTTGGCAGTTGAAATGGCAGCAAGACCAGACACACCGACACCAATGATGAAAACATTTGCAGGTTGTGATTTGCCAGCAGCAGTGACCTGACCCATAAGAAGTCTTCCAAACTTATTGGACGCTTCAATGATACTTCTATACCCAGCCAAGTTGTTTTGGGAACTGAGCGCATCCATGCATTGAGCGTTGGAGACTCTTGGGACACAGTCCATGGAAATAACAGTAATACCCTTCTGAACAGCCTTTTCAAGTAAATCTGGATTCTTCTTTGGGTAGAAGAATGAGATAAGAGTTTGTCCTTGTTTCATCACTTCAATCTCTTCCTCTGTTGGTGGGTTTACCTTGCAAATGATATTGGCCTTCTCATACACCTCGTCCGTAGTCTCTGCAATTTTACACCCAACTCTTCTATAATCCTCGTCAGAGTACGTCGAAAGCAAACCAGCACCGGATTCGATATAAATACCATATCCTCTGCTCCTAAGTTGTTTACAGACCGATGGTACCATAGCCACCATCTTCTCTGGCGTTTTCTCCTTTGGCACACCAATGAACAAGTCTTCTGGATCAATTTTGACTGGGGCAGCGTCTGAAATACCTTGTAAGAGTCCGGTCTTTTCAGTAGCACCAGATTCTGTTGTTTCAGTGTGTACAACTTCTCCAAGGATTTTCTTTACTTCCGAATTCAAACTCTCAAACCCAGCCTTGGAATCCTTCAAATACATTCGTGTGTTGTTAAAGAAGAACAAAGGATTATCAACAGCAGCATATCCCTGGTTCAAACTTCTCTTGTTGACAACAACAACCTTGGCCTGATAAGTCTTAATGATTGGCATACCAGCCAACGGGCAGTTCGGGTCTGTCTCTGCAATTGGGTTGACTGTATCATTTGCGCCAACCACAATACAAACATCGTAATCACTCAAATCCTCGACTTCTTCCATGGCAAAGACAATTTTGTATGGGACACTCGCCTCAGCCAACAAGACGTTCATATGGCCCGGAAGTCTACCAGCGACTGGGTGAATGATGAAGTTTACTGTCTTTCCAGCCTTGGTTAACATATTTGCCAATTCAGCAACAACGTGTTGAGCCTTCGCAACAGCCATACCGTAACCCGGAACGATAGCAATCTTGTGTGAATCAACAAGGAGTTTAGCAAACTCTCCGACCTCAATCGGGTTGACTTCTTTGTTTCCAGTATCTTTTTCGTTCTTCGTAACTGGAGACGCAGCAGTTTCTGTTTTATGCGTTCCAATCCCAAGAATGACACTCAAAAAGCCTCTGTTCATAGCAGCGCACATGATATACGACAAAATCGCACCAGAAGAACCAATCAAAGCACCAGAAACAATCATGGCATAGTTGTTCAACAAGAATCCAGCAGCCGCTGTGGCCCAACCCGAGTATGAGTTCAACATGGAAATGACGACTGGCATATCTGCACCACCAATTGCCATGACCAAATGCCACCCAATAAAGAATGAGATGATGGTGACCACCATCAAAATAGCCATATTAATAAAGACACTGTTATATTGAATGTCGTGCATTGTGTCTGGATTATCATCAATGATATTGTAATCATTCAAACTGATATACTCCACGGCTATATATGGAATGACCAACAAGCAGCCAACAGCACAGGAGACGGCGTTGATGACGTGTCTGAAGTTCCCTCCTATAATGAGTGGCTTTGATCTAATGATACCTTGAAGCTTTCCAAACGCAACGATGGACCCAGTGAACGTCAAACCACCAATGAAAATGCCAAGAACAGTTTCAAGGCCAATCATAGTCAAATAAGCAATGCCGTTTTCTTCAGTCTTCTCGTGTACTCCGGTGTAGTTTTCTGCATCTTTGATCCAATGCGCAAACCCGATCAACACCGCAGCAAGACCGACAAAAGAATGGAAACCAGCAACCAATTGCGGCATCTGTACCATTTCCACTTTTGATGCAATAAATATACCAATAACAGCAGCTGGGATAATACACACCAAATATATACCAGTGGTGTATAAGATCCACTCGTTGTATTCTTCGTCTGCGTATACACCAAAGTAATCACATACCTTATTCATAATAGCAGCAAAGAACGCTACACTCATACCAATGATACCGTATATGTTACCCATTTTAGCAGAAGTTTGTGCTGACAATCCTCTCAGTGCAAGAATGAAACAGAGAGAGACAACAATGTTGCCGACACTGACAATGTTGCTGAGAACCTTTTCGTAGTCGAAGTTAACACTATTGTCCGACATAATTGATACACTTTTGGAGTTCTCTACTTTTATATCGTCACAAAGATCTTGTCTTTCTCTATTCCACAGCCGTCGAATTGTGCCGACCCAAACGAATATTTGGAAGTTTCTGGTCTTTTTCGTTCGGCTCGTTTCACTTAGTCTTTTTCGGGAAGTATTCGGGAGACACACTTTTTTATATTCACACCAAAACAATTTTTGCCACATTTTGTTTCATTGTTCACATTTCAGTATTTTTTCTCAGTTATTTATTATTTCATTCCGTTAACTTGTTAGAACGCAATCTCGCAAATAATCTTCGGCATTTCAGACAAGAACTCATATTATTCTTTTTTTGAGACAATCCATTAAGTTCTCCAAACGTTTTGAGGACAACTATTTTTTGACCATTTTTAAGTTCCGTACAAGTGTTGTGAAAATAATTATCAAAATGTTATATATAACATTTAAATATCATTTTCTCTCGTCATAATAAATTTGTTATGTAAATGTGTTATTATTTGTGTAAAATTTCGGGAATTTGTTGCGTATTATTCTTCAATTTGTATTGAACTCATGTGGAATTTTTATTGAATGAGTTTCTAAGAACATTCTTTTCTTGCGATGGAAATTTTGTTGATTATTTCTTTGTTCGGTTGCTATGAAACATGATGTAAGTTTGTAGTATCTAGAACTGGTCTTCGTGTTTGTTTCGAAGTGACTTTGGACTTTTTCGTTTTTGTAAACATTTTCTTTTCACATATAAAATGTAATGAACTTCAATCATGTTAGTTTTTTAACCAATCACACAACAAAAACGATAAACATCTCACACCTTTTCGTTCTCGATAAATCTCGTCAAATCATCTCTCTCAAAACTTGTTGTTTGATTTGCTTTTCTTCGATGAATTAATTTGTTGAATTTTTACTAAAGCATTTCAAGCAAAGTTCAATTCTTATCTATGAAATTCAACAAAACTTACTCAAAACCGAATTAGATTTTTCTAATATTTTACTTCTCTTATTTTTTATACAAAATGTTACTAGATTAAAACTATGTATACAACTATATTCCTTTTAAAAATGGAATACAAAAAACACGATTTTAGAAACTCAGTTTTTTTTTTAATGTTGTAATTATATTACTAAATTACTATAATAAAACTAGTTTAAAAAAATAGCAATGTAGAATTTCAAAACCCAACCAAAAACACAACACAAATTCAGTTTTTAATTCTTTTGAAATTAAATCCTATAAACTCAAAGTTCTTTTGCCAACAGTGTTCTCTCACCTCGATCAGTCGTTGAAGATCATCGCATGTGATTGTGACTATAAGTCAATCCCTCATTTTTTTAATGAGTATAGTAAATTATTTACAAAACAAACTATTTTCCCCGTCAGACACCATCTTTTCGTATTTGTCAAAATCTTTGATTAATGTCGTCTTTTCTATCTCAACGTGTCCAACAAAACGCTCCAATTCGTTCTTTTTGTAAATCTCTTCTGCCCCATCGCCAAATTTCGTTTTTCGCAATTCCTCAATGTAATTAGATATCTCTCCAAATAACTGTTCCACGTGTTGTTTCGATTTTTCTATAAATTGTTCGTTCTATTTGTTATTAATTTCATTATTATGAGTTATTAGTAACACATATGCTATAATTATAGTATATATATATTATTAAACAAATTATAAAAAAACAAACAAGTTTTTGAGCTTGTGATGACGCATTAGAAAGTCGTGTTGGAGAAAACGAGAAAAATCTTGGAGATGACGAACATTTAAAATTTGGTGTTGCAGATGAAGATGAAAGTTCACTTTCTTCCATAACTTCCTTCTTGAAGTTGCCAGAAGTCTTCACAATTTTGTCGATGAAGTCGTTGATAGTCTCAAACACAAATTTCTTTTTTGCGATATTAATCATCTTGACATCGACCTCTACTGTCTGTTTGTGTATCATTTTAAGCTCTTCCAACTTTGAGTCCTTTTGGTCTTTCGTGTCGCTGACAATCAACACGCGCACTTTGTCGTTTGCAAAGAGTTTCATCCAATCCTTAGCCGCGTCAAAACTACTTTCCACGTCGTTTAATGTCATCAATATAATTCCGTCGACCTTCTCTTTAGCAAAGTCCAACGTTCTTCCCAATTTGTACTATTCCGTCATTCATGTAATAGTAATAGTTTAATAGTATTATAAATATATTATAAATATACTATAAATAATAATGTATTATAATAGTATTATAAATATATTATAAATAACAAACCTCTGCGAAGGGTATATCCCAATATATAATGGACTGGCCACCAATATTTGATTTGTATATATTAACCCCGACGGTATGTATATAATTCTGTGGTGGTGGTTGTCCCGTTAATATCTTGCATAAAGCGGATTTGTTAGTCTTGTCACCGCCAACGACTAATATTTTCAGCGCGCGTGGGTAATTCATCGTGTTGTTTTGAAGATCTCGACAGATCTTCAAAAGGTACTAGAATACTGTTTGAGTTTAACACCACGTTTTCTCCCGTTTGTTCCTTACTATCTATTAATAGTTTTTTTTTGTTTTGTCTTTTCTAAAGAACTTAAAAAGAAACCTAAACTCAATTTTATTAATGCCTAGGGTTTCTTTAAAGCCAACACCTTCACCATCTTCTCCAGCAACACAAGAGAACAAGGAAAAAGCTATAAAATTTTTGGGAAAGCTTTTTAAAGATGCCAAATTTGGTGATCAATTCGCTGATGAACTTTTTGAAGTCCACGAAAAAGACTCTGAGGCATTTAACACTCATTTGCGGATGCTTCTCTCAAACTTGAAGAAAAACCAGAAACTTAAAGACTCGATTGAAAAAGATGAAGTCACTGTCAAGGAAGTCGTCGGAATGAACTCCTACGAACTCGCAGACGACGAAGTGAAGAAACTGAAAAACAGAGTCATGAAGGACGAGGAAGACAAGAAAAAACCTTTGGATATCTCAAAAATACCGGACCACGAATTCAGCTGTCCAAAATGCTCGTCTCGTAAAATACAGGAAACACAGGTGCAACTCAGGTCGGCCGATGAACCGATGACACGTATTTTGACTTGCGCCAATTGCGGGTTTGGGTGGAAAAGAAGCTGTTAAATTACTTTTTGGTCAATTTATTTCTTTAATAAAACTCTGGTTGTGTTCTAGTTAAAAATACTTGAGAAAATTTGTAGAACAAAAAATTGATTTCAATAAGCGATGACGAGTGAGACCATTCAGTCATCAGAGTGTATGAGCGAAGAGGTTGTTGGGGATGTCATGAATCCGATCGCGTTTTGCGTTGAAGGAACTAATCTGAAAGGGGGCTTGGAAAATCTCAATACTGTTATCTTATTCATTCGATACACAGTGGGTAATACCCATATTAAGATGAGACTCACGAAAGGATCTCCTGTTGTTTTAAATGATATAACGAAAAGGAAGATCACGTTGTATATGACAACTAAAACACAAAAAATCGGAGAGGTAATCTTGACTGACGAACTCGTGGGGTTTGTGTCAAGGAAGAATTATTTAATTACGTTTGACGAACGATTTTTATATACCAATCCCCAGGCTTTACAGTCCACTGTCAGTATCTCATTCAGTTGTTTCACACTACTTCAAATACAGGACATTCCTGGTATCGACTTTATGCTAACGAAGTGCTTGGACTTCTGTGCTCGACCAGATGTATTTTTGAGCTTTAAATACCAATCACCTTCTCAAAATCTCGAGATTGAGATCCAATCAAAACTTCTGTTGAAACCACGTCCCATCTTTTGCCCCTTTTTCCAAACACATCCAGTGACAATAAAAATCACGCAAAACGCAACATCTCTCACATCGAGATTGTACTCTTCCGTAATGACATGTCATTTAAGCGACTATCTTCGATTCCAGTTGGTCACCATCCCACCCACCCCCGTCAAAACAGTCGTCCTCGACCAGTTCTTGACGTCGATAAACTGGAGGAATTCAGTGCTCACAAAAAGAAAGACATCGTTTCATATACTTGACTTCGACGAAGAAGGAAGGGTGGTTATCAAAGAAGAGACTACTTTTCCTGGTTACTTTGTGAGGATAGACTCAAAGCTTAGACTATTAGAAATATGGGCTACAAGCGACCTGATGGGCAATTGGATATCAGTGGAAGAAGAGAATAAGGAGAGGATATACGAAACAACCATTTATGAAAAGAGCAAACAACAGAAAATTGTGACACAGTTCACACAATACCAATTCGAAGCAACTTCAGTGACAAAGGTTTGTTTTGGAAATGAAGAAATGAAATCGTTTTCGTTTCAGATATACGAGTTGGAGCAATTTTCAGAATCTATTGTCACCCCAAAACAAATGTTCACAGTTTATTAATAATTTTTATATTATTTGGTTTTTCAATATTTTTTTACTAAAAAATATTTATTTCGATAAGTTCTTTTTCAACTGATATTTTTGATATAATTTTATAACATTTTGATTTTTTTGAAAAAGTTGAGTATTGGATATCATAATTGTTACAGAAAGTCAAAATAATAAGAATATTTTAGTAAATATGGAAACCCTAATTGAAGTTTTATGTTTTTATTTAAACGTCAAAGTAGAACTTAAAATCATCGAAATTCAATCCCGATTGATGACATTGATTTTTATAAAGATAGAGATATTATTGTAATTCCATCCCCAATATTAAAGAGATGAACTTAAAAACATTAAAAATGATTCATTCAGAGAAAACGGTGGTTTTAAAGAAGAAACCGCTAATGGAAGTTGTTGTACCGCCACAAGCGAAGTTTATTCTTCTTGCCTTATTGATCATCGTGCTCATTGCTTTTACCAACATCGTCATCTACACGTCTCAGTAAATGTTCAATTAATTTTGTTATTACATTTTGTATTTTTTTATGAATAATTACTATTAATATTCAATACAAAGTTTACTATAAATACCATTGTTTAATTAAAAATACTATACAATTCTATGATATAGTATAATATAGTATAATATAGTAAAAACTCTAAATACACTGAACCAAGAGCATTTAATTAACGAAAGGAAATGAATCAGCCAATAAATAAGGCATCTAAAAAATGAATAAAGGTGAACGAGAAAAGATGAAAAAAACTCATAAAAGACGATAAAGTTTCAACTTGATAAAGAACTTGAAAAAGAAGACAATGTTGGGAGTCAACAAGCAAGACAAGATCTTCATGAAGCGTTCGGGTGCTTATCACTCAGTTCTTGATGCGCACATCATCGAAGCGCCGGGGAGATTCCCCCTTTTGGATTTCAAAACCAAGGTGAAGGTTAACCCGAAATTTGTGATGAAGGGCACCGACATGGACATTGTAGACGAGGCGGTCACTTACTTCAAAGCAAACATTTTCTTTAAAAACTATGACATGTCCATTGCTGAGGCCGACAAACTTCTCGTCTATTTGATTTTCTATATTTCTTCTCTCCTTTTGAAAGTTTGTTGATTTGAAGTCTTCATTTTCTTCTTGTGAATTTATTTCTCTAATTCAATGGTGTTTTAACATGTAGTTCAACGGACATACAAAGACCGACTGTGAGAAGATGGCGTATTCTATGGCTATCGAGAACTTCGCACTCCCAGGCGACGGAAAGTTCTGCCTTGGTGGTATGGTCGACCCATTGAAAGGTGGCGAGAAAGACACTGTCAAGCAATACCTCACTGCTATTAGAAACGAAACAGGACTCAGACTCTGCGAGGCGATCTTCAAGAATGGTGGAAACAGACCAGACAAATGGTGGATGTGCTTTAACAAGAGAAAGTTCATGAATAAGACGATCTAAATCATCATTTCCGTTCACATTTTGTTCTTTGTGTTTTTGGGTCTACCGTTCGAAGTTTGACGTTTTCAATACCCGTTTCATTCTGAGTTCTTTTTTATTGGAAACCCTAATTCTGATTTACTGGTATTGTAAAGAAATATGACGAATTGCGTTGCTTTACTGTCTGGAGGGAAAGACAGCGTATACACCGCAGTTTGCTTACAGAAGAAAGGCGTCAAAATCGAGTGTTTGCTCCATCTGGAACCAACATTGGTGGACGAAAAAGATAATAATAGTTATATGTTCCAGACTGCTTTACATGAAGCAATACCTTATTTGTCGGAAGCTATGGGCATTCCTCTTATTAACTATCAATTCCAATCGAATAGTAGTATTTGTATCGAGAAGGATTACACAGTCACAGAGAATGACGAAATAGAAAAATTGTACGAAGCTGTTAAAAAGGTGTTGGTATGTTACCCAAAGATTAACTCAATATGTTGTGGAGCAATCGCATCTGAATACCAAGCCAATCGACTTGCTAATGTGTTTGTTTTGATCAACTTTTTAATAGGTCTTCAAAATAGTAAATAGTATAATAAAAATATAATAAAAATGTTATACATTTATAGTTTATCGACACAGATGGACTCAAAGAAAGAGCAGAGAGGTGTGGCATCACAGTCTTAACTCCTTTGTGGCAAAAAGATCAGCGTGAAGTTTTAGATGAAATAATAGAAAGTGGATTAGACGCGCGACTTGTCAAAGTATGTTCTATGGGATTAAACCAAAAAGATATTGGAAAGTCATTGAGTGAAATGAAAGAAAAGTTAATTCGACTGAACAAACAATGTGGAGCCAGTGTTGTTGGTGAGGGAGGGGAGTTCGAAACTTTTGTGTTTGATGGACCTACTTTTGTGAAAAGAATTGAATTTGAGTATGACGTCATCACAGAAAGAGAAGACGATTATGCACCCGTGTGTTACATGCGTATTAAGTCGTTAAAGTGTGTTGCTAAGTGATTTGAAATGATGTGTTCTATATTTTAATATTCTAAAACCATAATTATAGTATAGTATATAATCACATTGATTGGTTTAAAATGTACAAACATCTATCGTTTTCGAAAGTCAAAATGGAATCGAATAAAAACAAATTGTTAATATTATTAATTGTCTAATAATACTTATTTTCAATTGTAATAATCAGGATAATAAAAAAGAGGGATTTGTTTGGGCAATTACTAAGAATAGTATGCTTTAATTTTTTCTTGTCAAAATAATTGTCATTTTTGTCATTTCATTATTTATAAACAAAACGATTTTGATAAAAGAATTGATTTATGGTTAAAAGAACCAATATTTTTAATTTGACAATTCCCACCAATTAATAAAAAAGTTATTTTTAAAAATGTGACATTTTATAACATCTCAAATCTCCTTTATTATTATGTATAAAAATAAATAAAAGTTATTGATTTACTTTGTAAATCAGTCGACTCATTTTTATGGGTACAATATAAAGTTTTTTATAACAAGAATTGTCCTTCTACATTATATTTTTGATAAAAATTTGGTTTTTTAATTAATTTAAATTAATTTTTATTCAAATATAAATATAAAAAAAAAACAACTCTTGTTAATAAATAATATAATAAATTATTGTATTTATATTATATTTTAACAAATTTCTTACATAAAGTCCATTCCTAATTTAAACAATTGGAAAATAAATGGACAGAAATAAATAATTATTACTGATTTTGTAATTGAACTAAACTCTAATAATTAAATAATTATTAATATTACAATAAATTATACATATTATCTTAAAACGAAAAATGCCAAAAAGAACAATAAATTTTAATTTAAAAATAACTTACAAATATTTCCATGTAAAATAAATTAAAAATACCGAGAAAAACGGGCTATTGATCCTAAATATTATTTAAGTTACAAACAACAAACATGCATTTAATATTTTTTGGTATAGTTTAAACACAATTAAAAAGGTGACTCTAATATTCCCACATTTTTAATCTATTATCACCTAAAATAAATAGCAACTTCTTTGCTCGATTATTTGGTCATTTATTATCAAAAAAATTGCCTTCAAACTATGACAATTTAACTCGAAACACCAAATCCCACAATATTTAACCAAAAAGTCCTGTTTTATTGGAAAACAGGAGACCACCTTAAATAGACAACATTCTTCTATAAAAAGTTGAGACGAAACTTTCAATTTATAATGTCCACAAAAGGAAATGCAAATACAAACATGGATGAAAGCCTTGTGGGCACACGTTACAAAGAGTGGATATTAACAAGTGAATTAGGTTTTGGTGGGTTTGGTTTGTTACTTGATATGTATTAAACTCGAGTTAATAAAAAGGAAGTGTGTACAAAGCACAAAACACTGAAGAACCGACTGTTTATCAGGCAATTAAAGTTTTTAAAAAGGCCGACGATGCTTATGCAGAGATTAATGCGATTCAGAAATTAGGGGACATCAATGGGGTAGTTAAGATGTTAGATTCCGATTCAACAGACTTTGGATATGTGATGACAATGGATTTATTTGGAATCAGTCTTTCCACTTTTCGTTCATTACAACCAGACAAGAAATTTTCGCCAGCAACATCACTCCGGTTACTTATTAAGATGACACAAATCATCACACAAGTTCATTCAGTTGGGTTAATCCACTGCGACATAAAACCGTCCAATTTTGTAATGAAAGGAAATGACGAAATCGTTTTAATCGACTTTGGGTTGGCAGAGTCTTATATGGATTTATACGGCAACAAGAATGTCATAAAAAGGGACCAAAGTTTCAAAGGGACTTTATGTTACGCTGCACTTAATATCCATTTTGGAAAGTCTCCGTCACGGGCAGACGACATCACTTCCGCATTTTTCATTTACTTTGAAAATTTACTTGGCACTCTCCCATGGAGTGGCCTAGATGAGTCAAACACAATAAAGCAGAAGAAAATAGCTTTTGCAAAGACGGAGATCTACGATTACACACAAATTAAACTCCAAGTGATCTCATCGTTCCATTCCGTCTTAGGTCTCTTGAATGGTGAAGAACCTCGATATAAAATGATTACATCACAATTGACTGAATTGCTTATCAATGATGGGAATAAAGTGAGTCCATTGTTTGATGTTGATGAAGTTAAGTACCTTCCTCAAGAAGATAATCCTAACGATTATAAAACAACACCTATATCAAAGTTGGGTTCGTCGTCTAAGAAAATTGTTGTGACTCCAAGACAAAGTCCTACGAATGAAGAAATGAAAGAGCAATTGATCCCAAGAATTTGGAAGGCAGTTTCTATGTTTAACCCAACAAGAATCAGTTTACCTTTTTTGTAATTTAGTGTTTGTTCTCGTTTTGGTGTATTTACTCATTTAAAACAAAAGTTTATTTGTCATCTTTTTTTATTAATATTGAATCAAAAAGTTTAATTAACTTTGATTTTATAAATCATTTTAACCTTCTTTTCTGTATCAAAATAGTGTGTCTATAAACTAGAGTATAGTAATATATTTAACCATAAAATGGAATATCTAATAAGTATTTTTGTATAGTAAAAACAATAGAATAAAATAGTTAGATATACTATCCTCTTTCGAAAAAAACATTTTTTTTGAAAAAACACTTTTAATAGAACGAGTAGTAAATTTAATTAAAAATAAATTATTCCAAAGACACTAAAAGAAAGTAGAAAAAGAAGATAAGAACTCGAAAAGGTAACAAAAAAGATTGATGGCACAGAATAACATCTTTCTAGTGAAAGCTGTGCAAGACATTTTATCATGTACACAGCGAAAACAAGTACAAGTCAATGAGATATGTGAAGTGATCAAAAAACAAATCAAAGAGGCGAATTACGGAGACGATTTGATGAAAGGAAAAGAACAATTGATTTCCCCTCTTATTGAGGTCATCGAAGAGTCACACAAAGCAAAGAACTACTTGATGTGTTGCAAAGTAATTGATTTGATCGAGAAGTTGTTACTCTACCAATCAATTAAACACGTTGAAATCACATACAAAGGGCAATCCGTGGACGTGTTGGTTACTTTGATTAATGTCTTGTCATCACTCTTTCGATACAATTCACTTCAAACCAATTTATATGTCGCAAAGTGCATGACCACAATTGTTGACAAATTCTCAATTACTTTATCTACGCCCTTTATTATAGCTATTTTCAAAACAATATATGATATGTACATCATCACACAACCTTCAGACGTTTGTTTTTTATTAACAAAATATATTATATTATAATTAATAGAGAATACTAATTTGCAGACAAACAATGGAGCTTATAAGATGTGTATTGGAAGAATAGTAGATATTGTTGTATCAAAGATGAATCAAAAAAGTGAGGTGAATGGAGAATATCTCAAAGGAAATATCCAACAAGGAACGGCTTTACTCTTTTGCATGTCACAATATGCTACAGAGAACTGGACAGAAAGAACACTTAATTTGGGGATGTATAACAATTATGTGCAGACTATCACAAATGAAGCAAAGGCGTATGTCAACATGAAGTCGAAGAGAATGGTACTCCCACTGATAAAATCATATTTAGACAACTTCCCACCAGAATTAGTGGTACAAGACATCATCACTCCCAAGTTTGTAGGCGACTTGACGGAGCCTATCATAGTCAATTCACTCGACTCAACTGAAAGTGTACTCAAGATGTCTATAGAGATCTTAGACATTTCGATAGCGAAGTATCGGAAATACATGAGGAACAATTTAGGGTTACTCTTCAGTAAAGTAGTGACTGTACTTTTAGAGGGGAATAGTGTTCAGCGACAGTTGATAGTACTTGAGTTTGTTAAGAAACTAGTGAAGAGTGGTACTACTATTATCGAGTTGTTTGTGAACTACGACTGTGAGGTAAGCAGTCCAAATGTATTTGAGGACATTGTGAGATGCGTTGTGAAACTTCTTCAAACACCCGAACTCAGTGCTTTATGTATGGAAGTCTTGAGTCGGTTATACATGTTGATGACCACAGCGACTGAACATTGGGAGAGTGACTTACATAAATTACTGAAAGAGGAAGACCCCGTAGTTCCCGAGTCGACGATTAACATCATCCAACTCAAACAACAGAAGAAAATAGTGACTGATGGTCTTGCGGAGTTTGAAAAATCGCCGAAGAAAGGGATAGCATTTTTCATTGAAAAGGAGATGTGTACTAACACGGCCTCGTCCATCGTCACATTTTTGCACCAATTAAGTGGGCTTGATAGAAAAGCTTTTGGCGATTACTTAGGTGGGATAGATCCACTGAATCAAGAGTGTTTAAAGGAACTTTTGAAGAAATTGGATTTTTCCAAGTTGAGTATCGACGAATCAATGCGAATCATGTTTGCTGCATTTGTGATGGGTGGGGAGTCACAAGTAGTTGGTCGAGTGTTAACTGCGTTCTCCGAGAGGTATAGTGAGTGTAATCCCGGTGTCTTCGATAACATTAGTGTGGACGAGATCTATCAAATAGCAATGTCGATTATATGCTTGTCGACGGAGACGCATAATCCGAACGCGAAGGTCAAAGCGTTTGATACATACGACAAGTTTAGAGATGTTATATTGTCTGATAGAGGATTTAACATAAAAATGAATGAAGACCCATTGAAAGGGATATTTGAGCGAGTCGTAGCGACTCCATTCACTATCGCACAAAAGGACGATGAGCCACAAAAGTCCACAATTATAAGAGAACAAGGGGTCTATAACTATGAAGCTTCGCATGAAGTTGTTCGCGAGATGCACGTCTTCATTTATAAAAATGTCTGTTACGAAGTGATGCGGTTCTGTTTTGTGACACGAGACGAAAAGATGATGAACAGAGGAGTGACTTTATTACAGTCTGCGCTGCACTTAAGTGCCATTTTCTTCTTAGTTGATTCATTGGATTATATCATTCAATTGATGCGGTCACTGGCGTGCATAGATCAACCACAATACATCGAAGAAAGGCATTTGTTAGTGATCAGATCATTGCTAAGTGTTGCGCAGAATGACGGCGAGTTCTTGTCGACGGGATGGATCCCATTTTTGAGGTGTTTATTTGAAATCGAGCGATTGCGACAGATAGCGAGTGGGTGGGGAGAACAGGCGATAGAAATCTCATATGAGAAGACGGACACTATCTACCCCATCGAATACAAATTTGAAGAAAAAAAGGTGAAAGAATTAAAAGAAGGTGAACGACCGATCCTTCCATCCGGTGTTATTACACAAATCGACGCAAGTGAGATCAACGATATCTTTTGTGCGAGTGGAAATCTGGGCCATCGAGGCGCAAAGAACTTTTTCAGCGCGTTGTGCCAAATTGTGTTGGAACAAATTGATCAAAGGACCCCAGGACTGTTTGCGTTCCAGATATTAGTCGTTGTAGCTACTTCGAATAAAGAACGTGATGAAGTACATTGGGCCCCATTTTGGGACTCGTTGTCGTCCCTTTTTAGAAAGTGTTGTATGCACCCCAATGAACTCGTCGCAATGGGTGCCGTCGACTGTTTAAAGCAATTGGTTTCATTGTTTTCAACTGTTAAAGAAGAAAACTGTGAGAACCAAAAACGGGCACTTGAGCCATTTGTGTATGTCTTAGCTGACCATCAAGATGAACGAGTGAAAGAATTGGTGCTAGCCGGGATCCAAATGTTAGTCAATAATTCCAATTGGATAAGTAACATGAAGTCGGGGTGGAGGATTTTATTTGAATGTGTGAGGATATCTGCGGAAGAAGAGAAGATTCGGATGTGTGGCTTTGAGCTACTTAAAAAGTTTTATAACGAACATATAGAAGAGGTGAACAAGGAATTCACTGTTTTTGTTAATTCGCTGATTTCATTCCAAAAGAATGGGAATGCGAGTGGAGAGGAGTACAACAGAGAGATTGTGAGAATGTCTGGAGAGATCTTAAAAGGAGCAGATGAATACATTGAAGGGAGTGAAATGGAGAGTATTGAGAACATACAAGACGTTGCAGAGACACATATGACACCAATGTATCTCCAGAATTTGCCGAAAAACGCTGAGGTCTACTTAATAAAGTACTTGCCTTTATTCACATCATTAGCTGCAAGTGCGACAGGAAAGTACGAGTCTGTAGCGGAATATGCGATTAAGGTAATAACACAAGAGTTGCTTCAACTGTCACCAGAACTCACTGAAATAGTGTTTTACCGCTCACTTTATCGATGCTGTGTACCTGAATTTCCACATGAAAATCAACGAGTGCTTGGGTGTGTGTATTCGGCTTGTTTACAGTTGCCAATCAAACTGACCCTTCCTGTTGTCTCCTTTGCATTTAATGTACTTTTGAACCATGAAAAGGCGTGGGAAGAAACAGCCAATTTTTTGAAAGAGTTCATCGTACACAAAGATTTCAATGAAGTCGCAAATCTCTATTTAGACCAAGAAGCACTTTACTTTAAACGGGTGGTCGAAGCTATTAAAGGCATTTCATCGTCGACTGTGGGGAAGAATCAAAGAGTGAAACCAAACAATGTTATTCCATGTGAGAAATGTGGAGCTAAAAACGTCGTCTATTTCATGTACCGATGTGCTGGATGTTTTCAACATTATTATTGCGAGAAGTGTTGTGTCAATGCCCACACACTCGAGTGCATTAGACATTGGAAGAAGTGGAGAATAATACAGAACGGATTGAGTACAATAGCATCGAAAGGTTTAATACAATATATCAGCGCAGTAGAAGATTTGCCAATCACTGAAAGGATGTTAAAACAACTTGAAAGCCTTCAAGACAATTTGTTTGACACAATGGAGAAATTGCCATTGGAAAGCATAGCAGAGAACTACGAAATAGTCGTGAAAGCGATCGTTACAAAGCACGTTGATGGGTTGGAGATATTACATGACATCTCTTTGGACTACTTAAAGAAAGTATTCACCAAACGAATTCAATATTACTCGGCAAATAGTTTCATGAGGTGCAACTCAAAAGAACTCCTTTTATACGTCTTGGACCAATTCGTCAAAGTCGAAAACAAGGACTTTTTGGAAATGGTCCAATTCGCACATTCCTCAATTCTCAAATTGATAGCCTCGGACGATTTGGACGTCCGTATGAAGGTCATAGACATCTTGAGTAAGACGGCTCAGTTAGTCCCCATCAAATTGTGACTGAATGATATCTTCTTTTAAATTACCTCTTTTAGTTTCGTTTTAGTTTATTTTACTAGTAATGAATAGGAATGCATCGAAACTATTAAAATAAGAAACTAATTAAACGGATGACTTTGCCGAATAAAAGCACTTCATTTCCTGCTGGAGTACCTTCGATAAAAGGTGGAGAGTACACCGCACCTTCATTGGCGCGTCGGACAACTCAAATGCCATTAAAACCAATTGTCCAACAATCGAATAACGCAGCAGCAGAAGAGGGACAAATAATGAAGAACCAATACATCTCGCAGACAAATCGAATCATTGGGTCAGACTTCTTAGTAAGAAATGTATTACTTCAACGCATCAGAGGTGTCCTTCAGTCCGACGAGGACGAAGCTGCTTTGTACGTTGGAGAAGGTGTTTCCGAGGTGATTTCTTCAGCTGCGAATGAAATGCTTTGGAATGCAATTTCAGACATTGGAAAGACAGCGGAGACGAAGATTAGTCCTGGGGATGGTGTGAAAGTGACATGGGTAGAGTCCAAAACTGATAAATTACGTGCGGAACTTGAATACAAAGATGAGAAGAAGCCGCGTGAAATACGGCGCGATGGGAAACGCGTTATTCGTGTGACGATGAGTGATGTAATGGCAACGCGGAAGAAGTTACTTAAGCGTGGAATACGACGAGCGGAGATCAAGTCATATGAGAATAAGTGATTGTGTTAACATATCCATCTCGAACAATTTTTAATTATAAACAACTATAATCTTTAACTATTCCCCTTCGATCTATTTTGAAACCATAATGGAACTGACACATATAGTAAATGTAAACCTAATGTTTTAGATGGGAAAGAAAGACTTAAATGATCTTTCTGTGTCTAAAGAATCGTTTGAGGGAAATGACTTGGTAGAGAGAAGAAGCTATAACAGTCCCTATAACAAATATCATCATCCATAATGACATCGTGTTTGTCGCTTCATTCAATCCTCTGCGCGAATCATATAACGCGACACACTTTTTAACATAGTCATAAATGGTCGAAGCTTGTGAACTTGCTTCGTCACTCATTGCATCCACCTTGTTTATCGTTTGTTTTTTGATCACATTGGTGTCGTCTTTTTTGCCATCAGCAAAATTTATTTCGACTAATACAGGAGGAGCTCCTCTTGTGTCAGAGGAGTCGATCACACAGACGTGAAGTTTGTCATTGTCGGAAGTGAATAAAGACCCAAAGTTCTTGCTTATCCCTTTCGGATCAAAGTCGGAAGCAAAGACTTCAACTCGCTCGTTCTTCTCACCACGGAAGATTTTGAAGACTACATTGCGATTGCTCGGAATTGCATTAGGTGGAAAGCGGTAGGTTCCAGTGATCTTTTCTTTGTCAAATCCCTCCTCGAAGATACAACGATATCCGTTCGTTGGAACTTCCATCATGAATGATTGGACTGCAGAAAACAGCAAGAGAATGACCAACATTCGACTCTTATTTTTCAGTTCATTTTCTTTGGTATTTCGTTACTATTTTTTAATTCTTTTGGTTGTTATGTACTTGGGTGTTGAATCGATATTTCTTGTGTTTTTGATTACCAAAAATATTTTTTTGATATTTTACTCAAGTGGAATGGAATTGGTGAGGATTTAGTCGAAATACCTTTTTTATGGGTAAAAGTTTTATTTTATTATTTTTATTATTATTTTGGTTTGTTTTATTAATAATTTTACTATTAAAAATAGGATATGTTTATTATATAAAAACAATTAAAAAAACTATAATAAAAGGTTATTTACAATAGTAATATTATAAAATCAAAATGGATTTCCAGATGACTGAGTATATAATAAACAATAGTTTGTTAATTATAATAGAATAGTAAAACGAGTCGTTCAACTCCAAAAGCAAAGCATGTCGCTTACTTTGAAACAAAAGTACATTAAGCTCCTTCTAAAATCCGACGTGAATACACACCTCTCCCGCCTCCAACCATTTTTTGATGTACTCAACATCAACACTACCAAAGATGGCATTAATTCCCAAGTTGTATTAGACACTCTAGTACCCCTTCAAGAATTCTATAACGAAATTGGACCAGAACACCCATTGTATAGTACTTTGACTGGTACTTTACTGAAATACATCAAAATGATCGACAATATCCCTTTAAGTAATAAACATCTCCTCTTCCTCAAAACAATGATTGGGCATCCGATGGGGGCTTCTATTCACGAAGATGTATTTTTAATGATCACAAGTGTGTTGACCAAAGGCTCTGAAAACGACGTGAAAATCCTGTTATTAGCAATGGCATCACAGTCATTTGTATCTTTTTCAAAGGAACAACGAACAGACCTGATTGCTCTAATTCACGACAAACATGGTGCCAAAGAGAAAATTGTCCGCCCTGCACTTGGACTGGTTGCAGACGATTTAGAACCGACTCAAGTGACTTTAAACCACGAATCAACGATCTCCGAGAAGTTAGAGTATTACATTAAATTGGCTCAATTTGACGAAAAGAAGTACTTCAATGGTTTGGAGTCGACGTTACAAGATGTATTGCAATTAGACTATTGTCGAGTGAATCACTTCTATCCACAAATCTTTCATGCTCTTGCAATAGTAGCGAAACATGATGTTAGAACGCTCGACGACTTCAGAAAACATTGCACATTTGGTTCAATCCCCGACGAGAAGATGAAAGATGTGGTGACGCGCTTTGCGACGTATTTTGATGACGAGACTCTCACACGATTTATCGAGACGAGTCGTTCACATATCTCATTACAGTATTCTCCGAGTGGATGCGCACCGAACGCATTCTTGTCAATGGTACTCTTCGTAGCACAGTTGTGTGCCATTAAAAAGGAGAAGAAGACGAATGTCGATGTCCTGTCGTATTTGATTAACTTAGTGAATTACCCACTGACCGAAAAGGACTTTGCCATCTTAAATTCCCTTCCCATCTTCACTTCATTAAATGAAGAAGAACTGTATAAGATATCAGTTAATTACATCATCACCTTTTTCAAATTGGCAGACACGGATATCCTTAAAGCAAAACGTAATGTCCCAGAAGACCTCAGTAAAGTGGTGAATGCAGTTTGTTCGTTACTCACAAAAATTGTTGGGACGTTGACCGACAACAAACTCCGCTTTGACCTCTTAAAAAAGACGATTGGGATCTTCATCAAACTTAGTAATTCAACGACGCCAGAAGCATCTTTGAATATTAAAAATAGAACAGAAGTCCAATTGATGGGGAAATTATTAGAACCAATTAGCTTGCTGATTGAAGGGATGGAAGATATGATCACTGAAGAAGCCGACTTGAAGCTCTTTCGGACGTTTTGGTTCACATGTGTTGTAGTGAAGTATGTGAAAGAAGGCGAACACCCATCAGAATGGTATACGTGTGTTAAGGACATCGCGTTTAACATACCACCTTTATTAATGAAGAAGAGTCACGTTGAGATCGAAGTTGAAGGAGAGATCTTAGCTATTTTAACGCGATTTTATAACATCGAACAACACAAACTACTGTATGAGGACTTTTTGAAAACTACAGAGTTGGGCATTTCAACACGTGGGTCACAGCCAAATAGAATATTAATGTTCGTCTCCATCTATTATTTGGAGTTATTCCGAGGTGAACGATTTGGGTTTGGGTATATTTCAGAATACTTAGATGATTCCATAGGAGAAGAGCCGATGTATAATTTCGTTATACCCGTCTATGGTATTCTCTTTAAAAAGATTCTGAATGTCGTGAAGCAATTACTGTCATCGGAGAAACTCTCTGTTTATGTGAGAAATAAGGCAATGACTCGATTGGTCAGTTTCTTGATAGTGAAGACAACAACGTCGAATGATAACACATTCAACTTCATATCGAGTGCATTGAAAGAAATAGTAGATACCATCCCTTATGTCGTGTATAACAAAAACGTCCTCTTTTTACTCTTGCAAATCGTCGACACCATTTCAAAAATGAACACATCGAACCCCCTCGACGTGAAAAGAATTCGAATAGCACAAACAGACTTCTTCATTGAGACGCCAGAAGACTCTTCTTCGGGACAAAAGGTGGCTAAGAACGTTAAAGACTTTGCAACATTATACATCCAGTCTGGATTCAAGTTGCAGCCAAGGTTATTCTCTCATTTGGTCCAAGCCTATATTTTACAGCTTCCAATGTCGTCGTATAACTCGAGTAAAGGTGTGGAGTTAGCATTAAGTATTGGGAACCAATACGTTGACATGTCTATGGTGGTGTCTGACATATCTCAAAAGGCGAGTTTTCTTGGGTTTGCAAAGATGCATAACCAGAGTGTCGAGACACAGCAAGCCGCTCTTTTAAAAGCAATTAAAGAGACGACGGGGAATAAAAATGTCTTACTCAAAGAGGCGGTTTCATTCATAGTACTTAACTGCACCAACGTGAGCGAATGTGCTGATTTGCTTCAAGCCATTGTAATGATCCCAATGGAGAAGTTTGATAGTGAAAGTGTTGATAGTGCAGTGTCCAATTGGGAGTGGCTGATGTGTGTATGTACAAAGGAAATTGGGAACTATATTCTCCGTTTAATTTCATTAGCTTGGAATAAGACTATTATCAAAAAAATTGGGTTGTTTAACGCGATGTATGTCACTTCCAATCCACTCTCAAGCAGTGTTGGAAACACAGAACAGATGACACATGCATCATCAGTTGTTCCACACCGAAACATCATTAAATTTTTGGACGCATTACTTCCAATAGTCGAAGTGTTTAAGGACGGACTGAGGCTTTCTATTATTCATCAAATAGTGCAAGAGTCTTTGAAGGCGAAGATGACCCCGGAGCCGAGTTCTGTAGGTACTCGGTTCATGTTATTGTTACTTGGGTTGAAAGTGATTCAATTGAGTCAGAAAGAAAAGATCCATTATATGGGGATGATCCAAGACATTGAAAATGTCGGGTTGGAGTGGTTTGAGTCGAAGCCGGAGTGGTTTGAATGTTGTAGAATGCAAGCGGAACATGATGTCAATACTTTGGTATCGTTCAACACGGTGTTAATAGCGTTGTTGAGTCAAAGTCGGGATCGGAAATATAATATTACAGAAGACCAAGTTGAGGATATGAAACAGAAAGCTATGTTACTCATCCCATTTGTTGGTAATGAAGTAGAACGAATAGCTGTGTGGAACAACCCATTGAATATCATTTCAAAGCAATTTCCGAATCAAAGACTTTACATTGACTCTTCAATACCTAAAGAGTATAGAAGACGCCCAAAGGACTTAGTCTTACTTGCGTGGTATTATGCACCAAATTTAGTTGTTGGATATTATAACAGATTTACTACGAGCGCGAACTTCAAATTGGTCACACAACAAATTCTTGCTGAACCAACGAAATTGTTGAATAACCCACAAGCCCATGTCTTCATTGCAACACCGGAACACATCGAACAAAATATTCCTCAACTGAACCAATTACTGTACTGGGAGAGTACAGACCCACCTCATGCGCTTAATTTACTGAAGAAAGACTTCAAAGCGAATCCATTTGTGACGTTATATGCACTTCGCGTGTTGGATACATTTGATGAACATACGGTGTTATACTATGTCCCACAATTGGTACAGTCATTAAGATATGACAATTTGGGTATTGTGGAGCCTTTCATCATCCGAATGGGGAAGAAATATCAATTGATTGCTCATCAATTGATATGGAATTGTGATACATACTCCACTGAATCAACTACAATGACTGTCAAACAAGACCCCACATTTGTTGCGAAGTTGAAAGAGATCAGTAAGAAGATAGTGGAAAATTATGACGAGAAGGAGATGTCCTTATTCAAGGCGGAGCGCGGCTTCTTTGAAAAATTCACAACGATCTCCGCTGGACTCATCCCAATTGAAAATCGCGACCAAAGACTCGCACAATTGAAGGAGAAACTCGGCGAACTGCAAGTTGACAGAAGTGACTTGTACGTCCCAACAAATCCGAACGCCATGGTGTCATCTGTATCAAACCAAGGCTGTGCATGTTTGAGAAGTGCAGCTAAAGTCCCCATTTTAGTCAATATGAGAGTGAAAGAGAGATATACTGGCGTTGAATCCCCACTTCCAATCATCTTCAAGGCTGGCGATGATATTAGGTCTGATATGTTGGCAGTTCAACTCATCGAGCTTTTCGATCGAATTAACAAGCATTCTGGTCTTAATATTTATTTGTGTCCATATCGAATCATTGCAACAGGACCAGACTGTGGTATCATTGAAGTCGTTCAAAATTCGATGTCGCGAGATCAAATTGGTGAGAAGTGTGAAGGTGACATGTACACGGTTTGTTCTTCATATTTCTAGTAAATCGTTTTAAATAGTAAAAGAATATAAAATATATTATAAAGTATAATATAATATAACTCATAGTACTTCCTTGCCAAATATGGTGGTCGAAAAACTGAAGCCTTTTACTCTGCCCGAGCTAACTTTATTAGAAGTATGTCGGCGTATTCAATAGTTTCGTATATATTACAAATCAAAGACAGACACAATGGAAACATTTTGATAGATGATGAAGGTCACTTGATCCATATCGACTTTGGATTCATGTTTGATCGATCGCCCGGCGGCGACTTGGGTATTGAAAAGTCGCCATTCAAATTGACAGAAGAAATGATATCTATAATGGGAGGGTCTCCCATTGCAGAACAATTCATCTGGTTTATGGAACAAGCAGTCAAGTCGTTTTTAGCACTCAGAGATTATTATCAGTCCATCGTCACTTTAGTCGAGTTGATGCTCGACACGAAGATGAATGTCTTCAAACCAAATTCCTTGCAGAATCTTATCAAACGATTTAATCCAGACAGCAACGTGACTCAAGCCGCTGGGTACATGTCTGGGGTTGTCAAAGAGGCGTTCTCGTTGAAAGGAACCTTTTTCACATATTTCTATGATAAATTCCAGGCTCTTGATAATGGCATTTCGATGTGATCTAATTGAATTTTCTTGCTTCTTTTATTGGCAGGAAGTTTGTCCTTCATATGGTTCATTAAATAGTTTATTTTTTTATAACTTAAAAATTTGCATTAAATTAGAAAATAAACTATAATGAACTATAATATACTATAATGAACTAAACTGAAGAAGAAATCAACACAATGAATTTACAACGCAAAGAATACATAGTGGATTGGACACATAATAGTTGGCACGAGAAGTATAGTCTCAACAAGTCTTATCAAGCAGGGAACTAGCCCATGACACTTGATAGAGGACTTGTCGACTAACTCTCTAATGATCTCAACAAAGGATAAAAGGCAGGAACGAATCCATGACACCTTTTGCTTCACAATGTCGATCATTCACCGTCATGACTTGGTTGATATCTCTTCTTACTTTCAAAGAAGTAAGGTAACGTAGAGGTGAGTGGAGTTTCAACAATGAGTGCTCAAGCAGGGACGTACCCATGACACTTAAACAAACTCAATGTCGACTCAGATTCCTTGCTAGAAATATTTCTCTACACATTAGCCATTCGTTATTCGTCTATAAAACAAACAATTAATGTCTTTTGTGTTGTGCCAGTGTTTGATTGAATGATATTCCAGATTTAAATATAGCTAGATTCTGTCGAGTTTAAATATTTGTCATTAATCACTCGTCTATAATAAAATAAACTACAATTTACTATATAATTAATACACTTGGATTGTATTTTTTAGGGTTTTATTAGCTTTTCAAAAAATAAAGCGTGTTTTAACCGCTTGTATTCAGGAAAATATCATTAACAGTAAAACAAACCATTTTGTTCGTTTTTCGTTTTTTATAAATTTTTTTCATTCTTTTTGATTTAAATTATTTTTAAACTCAACAAATACCAGTTTAATTTCTATAAAAACACTTGAGTCAATCAATACATTGTCTTGTTAACAAAAAATAATTGATTTTTGTTTAAATAATTGGAATCATATAAAATAATTTATCAAAAAAAAAATTATAAATACAACAAAAATCTCAACTTTGAGTTTTTCATTTGAAACGAATAAAAAATTGTAAAATGTTATTGTTAATGTTATTCCTACTCCATCAAATGGTATTTAAATGGTATGAAATAACAAAACAAAAAACACAAATTTACATAACTAAACACAATCAAAACAAGGAGATTTGGCTTTCATTCTCCTCGCACCCAAATTCGCTTGGGGTGTTAATTTGCAAACATGGGGTTGCCATTTTGACTCTTTCATTTTGAATGAGCCTAATAAAGTATTCGTCGATTTCCTTGAACGATGGCCGGGCGTCGACTTTTCGTTGCCAACACTTTTTGATCAGTTTTCTATAAGGGCATTCCCTTGGTATTTTGAGTCGATGACCTTGTAATACAAATTGATAGATACTTTCCGGGGTTTCAAATTCCTCAACATTATATGGGGACCGACACAACCAGATTTCTAACATACAAATTGCATATGAGAACACATCCGACTTCAACTTAATAACGCCGTCCAATCGTAACTCGGGGGGCATAAACATAGGGGTTCCAACATCATTGCCATCGACCAAATTAGCCGTTTCTATGATATTTTTTGACGTCCCAAAATCAGTGACTTTGACCACTACACCCTCATTAGGATTCTCGGAGATCACCAAACAATTGTCGGGCTTTAAATCCCGATGGATGACATTATTGTCGTGGAGGTATAACATCCCACGTGCAACGTCCTGACAAAACCTAAGACGGAGTAATGGTTTTGTTGGGACCGACCTCAAATATGTTTTCAAAGACCCCATCGGGCAGTATTCCATAACAACGCAAATCGATTCATCATCAACACAGACACCAATAAAGGAGACTATATACTGTGACCGCAATTTCTCGAGTAATGCAACTTCTTCTTGAAATTTCGGTGTTAATTCTTTGATGTTACAGATGTCCGTTTTGAGGACTTTGACTGCTACATCCTGCTTTCTGTAAACGCCATGGTACACTATTCCAAAACTTCCTTGTCCAATCGGTGACTGATCTAAATGGATTTCTCCCAAATCAAGTTTAGGAGAGAGTCGACTCCGAATGATGAACGAGAGACTCGTACTGAACTTTTTAGCTTTGGTATAGTCGGGTCTATTCTCCTCTGATGATGCAGTGTTCTGTAACGACCCAGTGGAATATGAACTCTTCATATACTTCGCCGATTTACTCGAACGCATGTCAGACTTCGCGACTTTATGAGGCACTTTCTTCTGCTTTTGTAACTCCCCTTTCATCAACTTCTTGAAATGAGAATAATGCACTGTGACATTGACATCTTCATGTGCTATAGTGGTGCAGTGCACTATTATTTCAATTTTCACGTCCTTTTCGCTTTTCGGGCGAATGACCCCACGAAAGGGGGTGAACCGGATGTCATACTTTTTGTTTGAAATCGCGTGGAATAAGAAACTCATACTTTCCGTTTCAGAATAATTTGTAATGACACACTGCGTCTCTTCGATCTTATCGACTTCCGGCGACGAGTATTCATCAGACAAATTGATTTCTGTCGGTTGGATATTAAAAAATTCATTGGGGATATTCAACGGGTAGCAAAATGCCGGTTCAAACGGCACAATACAATTCACAAAGACGTTCATCTGTTCATTGTATTCAAATCGCAGTTTCGTTAGAAGTCGTTTGTGCTCAGACCATCCAACAATCAACACTATTATATATAACAGTGTGTATAACAACACACCAGGAACAAGTATATATAACGTTAAATGGCCCGTAGAGTACGTCCTACATGTTTCTAAACTCGTCGCATACCATCCAGGTTGACATTCACATTCAACACATCCACTCCCTATATCACTGTCACACTTCTTGTGAGTATGTGGTGTTCTTATTAAGAATAACAAACCTCTTCTCCTTCATCCAAATGCTTATTACCACACGTCTCACGCAAACACCCTCTTCTAGGGGATGCATAAGGAAGATAGCCAGCAACACAATGACAAAACAAACACCCAACACCTCCATCACACTCTTCATAGTCATCAACTCGATTATTCCCACACGTCAACAACGCACATTTTGTAACGTTATTGATCTTCACCGGCTTTGTTGGGTATTTGCAGAAACACGTCGATATGTCGCAGAAATAGTCATCATCGGAATTTGATATATCGCACTCCTCTCCAACGTCGACCACCCCATTCCCACATAAAGTGCAGACCCCATCCCTTTTGATATATCCCGTGTTACAGACACACCCTTTCTCATTAGTCGAACATGCTATTCCATGGACGCAGTTGTCGTGACAAATCGTTGAAAAATAAACGGGAAAGGGATGGTGCACCATCGAGGACACAAAAATGAAGTAATTTTTGTTAGGGTTTAAAGACGCAACCATTGACGCATGGACCTCTTTCCCTGGGTCCGAAAGTTGTTTGCACTTTGCTGGTAATTTGTCGCAATCGACGTTTTGTGGATCAACAGTGTTCTCGACTTCCACTAAATGTATAAAAGTGTTAACGCTCAAATTGCCGTCTTCCAAAGTTGTGATATACAACGTGTTATTTGTCCCATTAAGAAAAAACCAAGTCCCCAGTTCTTGTCGAAGCACACAAATCGATGAACTTTTAACAAATGAGTTGTGCCCAATATCATACTTAATCGGCGTTTTTGAGATGTCGTTCCAGTTCAATTGGATGTAGCGAGTACTACACGGGTGGACAATTTTCCGAATATACAATTTGACGTCACCATCAGGCATATTCCCAAACGATCCAAAGAGTTGAAGGAAATACTTTCCGGTGTTCATTTTGAGTATCAATGAAGCAGAGAGTACATAGTCATCTAATGCACTATTCTCACCATAACACAATGAAGGCTCCAATGTCGCATCCTTTTGACAGTAATTCGTGATCGAGAGACTTGAATCATACCCAGTGTGCAATTGTTGTGCATGATAATAATTAATAAGTGGTAATGTGTATACATTGTCGGTTTCAAAGACGTAATACCCCTCATCTTCAACATCCAACGAAAACCAAATGCCATTAGTATATGGGTTTGAGGGATCGACAACTGCAAAACAGTCGTCCCGCGTGAGTCTAAAGTCCTGAAGCAAAACTATTACTTCCATTGCGGTCGATTGTGATGCGTTTAAAACCAAATTTCTGGGTGTGGTGATAGTGATGTCGTTGATTGAGTCGTTGCAACTATTGATGTCTGAGGCGGAATAAGCGACACAATTCATAAATCCGTCCATATAAAACCCATCACCACAACTATGACAATCGAAGGCATAGGCTGGTTCTTTGCATTGGGTACATTCGTTTGTAGAAATACACTCCGACAAACATCCATTGATTAAACAATTTGACGAAGACGAGGGAATGTGGTTTGTCAACGTTGAAGAAACAGAAAACGCAGTCAACAAGATCATCAAAAAATTGAACGAAGCCCAAACGAATTGGCCAAGTTCCAAAGTGAACATAAAAAATACTTTTCAGTTTGAATTTCTTTTTTTCCACAATGATAAAAATTTAATGAAAGTTATACTTCCCGTTTTGTGTATAACTTTTGCTGTACAAATCGATTTGTTTGTTGTGGGTCTTTACTAATTTCGAATGTATTTATAGAGAAAAAAGGTATTTTTGGAAAATACAACTGTCCACTTTCATTATAAAAGTATAATAAAAAGTATTTTGCACCTAAATGAATCTACATAATGGGTGTTTTTCGTTATTCGTTTTTCTTTCATTATTTGTGATTGTTTCCATTGAAACTGATTTTGCCGGTAATATTACATAAGAAAAGACAAATCAGTGGTATAATAACAAGATCAGTCAATTCCAATAACTAATAAAAATAAGAAAAAAAGACAACCAATCAATTACCATTTTAAAACCCTTTTTCATTAAGAAATTCTCCCGTAAATTAAGGATAATATAGCCTTTTATTCAATTGTTTGTATTTGTAACGAAATTATTACATCAAATAATACCAAAAATGATCAAACGCCGCTCATTAAAAAAAGCAAATTATTTTAGTGTATTTTATCGTATTTTATCAAGAAAAAAAGTTTGTTTTTGTTGAACCGATGATAGAATGTTATATTTTTAATGTTGAGAAATTATTCCAGTAAATACATGTGATAGATCGGGCTTAGTGTTGTTTGTTATTTGTCGTATTCAGGTTTTGCCAATACAATAATAAACAACTTTTTTGATCAAACCGTCTAAAAAATTTTAAACTAAAATTATAAATATATAAATACTTCACATCGAAGTTGATTGGAAAAAATGACGTTTTTAATCTATTTTTCTAAATTTATAATAAAGTGTTTTTGATTAGAAAAGTTATTTTTGAATTTAAGTAATCAACTTTAAAAATACTAAAAAACAATTAAAAATTCAAAAATTCAAAAAAAATTAAAATAAAAATATTATTATACAGTTAACGAAAAAAGTGGGATGCTGAAAAAAAAGGGCTGCTAATCTAAATATTAATCAATTTAATATTATTAATAATAAATAATTAATATAAATTTATTTTGGTTTTGTCATTTTATTAATTCTTTGATTAATAATTTATATTAAAATAAATAGTAATTTTATTATTTTTCAATTAAAATAAACCAATAGTTACGAGCATCCTCCTTTTTCTAGCATCCCCATATTTCCTCCTACTGTAAAAAAAACAAAAAATGTGGACTGCAAATTGGAAAAAAAATATTTAAATAATATAGAAAATAAAAATAACCAATTATTATTATTAATAAGTTATTTTAATATCAAACTACAATTGATATATTATAAATAATAAGCTAATAAATAACAAGTTAAGAAATGAGTTAATACAGATATACTACCAATAATTAAAGAAAAACTAACTTTTTTATATTATTTTGTATCAATTTATTAATAATTTTAATAAATATGTAGTTTTTAAGTAATTATAATTACCTGAATTATTAACAAATAAAATATTTTAATATCAATTTATTTTTTTAATATTCCCTTTTTTATCATATGTTAGTTTTTTAACTAATGTGATTAGTATAATAAAGAAACAACAAAGTTTTGTTCAAAAAAACATTTATCTTCCGAATGTCACAAAACTTGGATAACTTTTTCTTGTTACACCAAATTGAAAAATCAGATGCAATCATTTCTAAACAGCTCCCCTATTGCGAAAATCTCACTAAAACAATTCAGAGTTGAATACACAACAACACAATACGATTTTTCTTACCCGACATTTACAGACAATCCTCCAACAGTTCCATGTTACAATATATACATTACAGAGTCAGATGTTGCGCTGACAAAATGCCCAAAGAAAGACGGAAAATTTTGGTCATCTTCGGAAGATGCGCAAGCACTTTTTTTCAAAATGATTTACCTTTCTCTTGAGCTTAACTCTCCAAAGGACGTCGATTCGAAAAGCGTTATGTTGGTTGAGACAAAGCCTTTTTCCAAAAAGATTTTGGAAATTATATTTAAGTCCAAAGATAATAAGTCGATTTTTCTCCAAAAGTTTCAAGAATATTTGACATCAACTAATGCACAAAAAGTCTTTCTGTGTCCACTTTACGACTATCACATCAAAACACATCATCTTTTTCCTCCTTTTGTCAAAACTTGTTTAGATGTTTTGAGTACTACCGAGGCACCTTTTTATCTGGAAACAGAAAGTAATGAATTGTTCGACACTATTAATGCTATTAACAACAACTCACTGAAAACTCCCCCGTCGTTTTCACTGTCTTTCCAATTACTAAAATACTACTTTAGAGCACTTCCATCTCCTTTAATACAACAAACACAGGACTTATTCGACGTTCTCAAACACGAACAATCAGAACAAATACAAGAACTCAAAATTTACTTCTCCTCAATAGAGAAAGAGGTTTGCGCGCTGCTTGCTGCATTTTTCCAGTCACTCAATACACTATCGGAAAACTCAGTGAACCACACAACACAATCTCTCTCTTCATATTTTACTCTTGCGCTTTCATGGGACACAATTAAACCTACAGACAAACGAATGTTTGATGTTGTCCAGTTGATGATCAAAGAAAGTAAACATATATTCCCCACACTCTGAGGCTTATTCAAAGTTTTGTATCGTTTTATTATGTTTGTTACAAAACTTTAGAACAACACAACTAAAATTAAAAAGTGCAATTGGGTTTACAGGGCAACCTTCAGCACGAGGACAATCACACCTCCCACAATGAGCAACAAAAGGATCAAAACAATGATTTTGACTCTTGTTGCTTTTTGGTATTTTTCGGCCTGTTTGATCTCCTGCACCGCTTTTGCGACGTGTTTTTCGGTGTGCTGAATATTGTAATCAATACGATCGACAATGGTGCCCTGTTCATGAACCAATGAGTTGAGTTCCCTTGTCATTTCAGCAAGTTCTTGAACCGTTTTAGCAATCTTTTTTATCTCCTCAACTCGACTATTCACCAGCTCTTCCGACTCCGTCAGCATGCCAACCTGTTTTTCATCAAATCCAAATGAATAAACTCCCTCATCCTCCCCATTCGAAAAACAATCGTCAAACTTTTTAGTTCGTTGTTTCAGTTCTATTTGTTAGAGAATTTGTTTTCTATATGTCATAAATACAAACTGAGGAGATAGTCTTTGTTTTGTCGTTTAAACTTTTCTGCAACCGTGTTGACGTCGTCTGCAAGATTAATTTGAACGTTTTGGATGACAGTGGGATTGTCAATCTCTTTAAATCGCGCAAATTGTGTGACGCCATTTTGCATTTTTCTCAACATCTATTTGTGAGGAATTTTGTTTCGTATGTTGTTTAAAAACAAACGGATTTGACTTCGTTGGTCTTAGCATCAACGTCCCTACCAATTTGTTCATAATCATCAAGATCGATTGACAAGTATCGTTTTTGAAGTCTTCCAAGCTCTTCCACTATTTGTTAGAAATTAGTTTTTGTTACAAAAACGGAAGCAACAAACTTTTTAAGTCGCATTCTGCGATTTGCGATTTGAGTTGGTCGACCACAGTCGACCACTGTGGCTGGTCGTTCAGTGGAACGACTTGTGATTGAAGGTCAACTATTGTTGTCCCCAAGAACGCAACCCGCTGGTCGAAAAATTCTGTCGTCCAGTCTCGAGAAAATCCGATAGATATATTACTCATTTTAGTCTTTTAAATTTTTGAGTTCTTTTTTGGGTTTTGGCAAGAGTCTCGTTTTGATGTGTCTTAATTTTTCGAACATTTTTTCGCTCTTATCAGTTGTCCCATTCCAGTAACATTGTCATTTTATCATCTTGAATACTTATACAATCTCCTTCAATCCGATTGATTTAAACAAATAATGACATCAAAATCGTTTATGAGGAAAAAACTCGGTTTTTTCAAAAATGTTTTTTGTATAAGTAAATTTTGTATTCCAATTTCTACTATAAAAAACTATATTTTAGAATTTGTTTTTTAAATCTAGAAAAAGAAAAAAATGTTAAAAATAGCCAAACCGAACTTTAAAAAAGAGAACTTATAATTAAAACCTCAAAACAGAAGAACTTAAAAATTTACTGAATGATTCTATTTTATCTATTATTTCAGGTATTATCTCACCCACTTCTCAAAAAGTCGTTAAATAAAGAAGAGATTTTATCATACAACATAACAGAGACAACACCAAAGCATTTTAAGAACACTTTATTAGGGTTTGTCACACCATGGAATCTTCATGGTCTTAGTGCACTTGAGAAGAATAAGCACAAAATTGACATTGCTTCTCCTGTCCTATATACTGTATCATTTATTGATGGGCATTACAAAATAAGAGGAGATGATGAACTTAAAATCGATGGGTATCCGCGTTATTCATTTGAATCAGTTGAACAACCGCTTGATGTTGTTGGCAAACTAATAAAAGAGCATTGCAAAGCACACAATTATAAAGGATTAGTTGTTGATGGTGTGTTTTCTATTTATTCCCATTTCAGAAAACAAGCAACAGACCAACTCATTTTGTTATTTAAAGAACTTGACGGGCTTGATATTATCATTGCAGTCCACCCATTCTCATATTTTACTTATAAGGAAGTTGAAGCTACAAAGAAATACGTGAAGATGTACGTCGTGATGACGTACGACTACTTCAATCCAAATCAGAACAAAAACACTTTTAATGCGCCAATCGACTTTATTGACAAAGCAATGAAATCACTTGGCGCAAAAGGACCTCAATTCGCTATTGGCATTAACTTCTATGGATATGCCTTTTGTAATGGAAGAGGGAAAGTCGTCGTCGACAGAAAGTCGTATTTTGATTGGCTGAAGATGTCTTATGGACAGATCAAGTGGCACGACGAAGAGGAGGAACACACGTTTATATCACAAGATTGTGTAGTGAATTACCCGACGCTGCTCTACTTGAAAAAACGAATAGACTACGCAGAATTATATAATTATAGTATTAGTATATGGGAACTTGGCCAAGGTCTTGATTACTTCCTTGATGTTTTCTAGTAACTTATGAAGAGTGTGATGAAGTATTATAATTTAACAGCATTTCTTGTCGTGTTGTTGTTGTTCGGTTGGATTTAAATCGATTGTGGAAACAACCCTATTTCATCAATTCAGTTAATTTTAATAGAACAAAAGTAATTGATTAATTTAATTAATAAATTGAACATTACCATTAAATATTGATTCGTAAATATTCATTATAATAACACCATCACATTTGTAAGGAGAGTTGAATAGAAAACAAACATTGTTGGGTCGATCTTTGTCGCATTCATCGCAGTTTTGGAAAGTTCAACAAACGCATTTTCGACGTTGGTGGCATCTTTTGCACTCACTAAAAAGTGAGGGAAGTTGTTGAGGTCACACCACGACTCAAAACGAGTTGTTGTCAATTGCCATTCCATCTCATCAACATCGGACTTATTCGCAACAGCTACAAAGGGTATCGAGGAGGACGTACGTTGGACTATTTCATCTTTCCAACTCGCGAGGTCTTCAAATGATTCTTTCGAAGTGAGAGAACAGACTAAAATACACCCGTCAGTCCCTCTGAAAAAGTTGTCGCTTACACAACGAAAACGCTCAGTACCGCTTGGGTCCCACACATTTAAACACACCATTTTGTCTTCAATAGAAATTTGTCGAGTGGAGAGATCGACGCCAACCGTCGATTTATAGTCGCATGAATATTTCCGGTTAACAAATTGGTTGATCAAACTTGTCTTTCCGACAAAGCTATCTCCGAGGACAAGAATTTTGAGAGTGACCTGCCCAGCCATAAAAAATTATTTTTAAAAAGATCACATCAAATTTTCGGCACCATTTGTTTTGAATGTTATTCTAAATAGTAAACTTCTAGTATTAATAAATACCTTTGAATTTGGTTTAAATATAAAAAATTTAGTTATAATTATATCAATGTTATAATATTATCTATAGTCGGGGGATAAATGGCATTAAAAAGGGACAAAGGTAGTTAATTTTGATAAATATAATTTTGAAACTATAATTTTTAAAAAATCTATTTAAAGGTCAAAATAAACATAAAATTAAAATAATAATATAAATTATCGTTTTTTATTTAAAATGATTATAAATTGAATAATTATAAATTTCTATTTCAAAAATAAACAAAAACACCTCAATTTGTTCACTTAAAAAATGTGGAAGTCTAAAACGCAGCACTTTTTATGGTTTGTCTGAAACTTGTTTTGTTAAAGAATTTTTCCTTTGTTTTTTCCTTTGTTTCATTTCTTTTCTGCTCTTTTTCAACTCCAATTGTTTTTATGTTAAAATGGTCTTTCTCTTATCTTTTCTCAATGGAAATGGTTCAACAACGAAAGATTGAAAGATTGAAATAACAAATGATGATTTTTCAGTGATTCCCTGACACTTTCAAAAATTGACACTGTTGTTAATTCATTAAACTCTGGCATTTTAACCATATACATCGTGAATATATATTGAAATACAGTTTTTAAACTGGTTTCTTGTATTTGAATTGCTTTTTTATGTTGATTGCCTGTGGTTATTTCATCAAGGGTTCCTTTCTCTTCTTCTTCCATTGTTTTCAAAGATTGAAAAATATCAAAAATAGAAAGTTATGGTTTTCTTTTATTATTTTCAAAGTAGTTAATTGAAAAAACCCTTCTAATACTTTTATGGTTAAATAAATTATATTTTATAGTTTTTTACTCAAATTAACTACTTCTGTCCCAAATTAACCCCCTTTATCACCCGACTATAATAATAATATATTATTATTAATATAATCACTAATATAATTATATTAGTAATAATGAATGATATATTTATTATTATTTTTATTAGAAACTGTTTTAACAATAACAATTGAGAGAGTAGTAAATAAATAACTATTTAATATTATATAAATAATAAATAACTATTAAATCGTTTATTTATAAAAGTATAAAGTCTGATTTCTAATTAATGATATTCCAAAAATACAACAAGGAAATTTACTATATTAGTTTTTTTATATTATAATATATAGTATCGACCATCGCTAATTAAAAACCATAAATAAATAGTAAATTTCTTATTAATTTTTACCATTTGACATTCTCAAAGAAATGCTGGTTGTCAGTCGTTTTCTTTGCTTTTCAAATCAATCGGTTTCACCTATTAATCGCCTTATAACAATGACACTTCTGTAATTAACTGAAGAGTCAGTCTTTCAACGTTATCTGGTGGACAAAAAATAGCTTCATTTTTGTCTAAACATCAGGCATTAGGTAAAGCGTGAAAAAACCCGAAACAATTGCGATGGATTTTTGGGACTGCTCCCCGAATTATTCCATTTTTTATTGTCCAAAAGGCACCAGATAACGTTTGAGACCAGATAACGTTAAAAGACAGACTGTATTAAATGGTTTGCCGGTTGTGTTGATATGACTCGGAAATTAACCAGAGAAAAAATTACAAACTCCACATTTCTTGCTTTCTTTTTTTGGATGTATAATGTGGTTAAAAAGTAAAATAATTTAAAAATAAAACAAAAAAAATAATATTTCGAAAAAAAAAGAAAAAAAAGCTATTTATTATAATTAAAAAACTAAATATATAGTTAATTTTTTCCATCGTTAATTAAAAATCCGACTTTATATAGTTTATTCGTCCCAATCGCATAATAAATGAATAAAATAAACTCACGAACCATGAAATTAAATCATTGAGGGTTGCTTTAAAGGGCGACTACTACATATAAGGCATGCAATACTCCCGGGACCCAGAAGAATATAGTGAGGATGATGTTGATCCAGAAATGGAGACCACAAGCGACCTTGAAGAAGACGGCCAATGGTGGCAAGAAGAACGAGAGAACGCAAAGGAGGAGACAGCCGAGTGTGATATCGCCCATTGAATAAAAAACCAATTCAGTTCTTCTTTTATAGTCCAATTCGCATTATTAATAAACTGAACTAAAGAATAAGAGCAACATTACCAATAAAATACATATTGAGCTCTCTAATATTCGTCGATTAAAAAAAGCTAAAAAGAGCAACAAAATGCAACGAATTTTCTTAAACAATCAACAGTGTTGTCCCATGTCATTTTTTAGGAATATAATAATAATTGGAACTGAAGTTTCTTCGGGTCTTTATTATTTAAAAAGTACAGCAAAAACGTGGCAATTTATCTTTAAAAACCCATTTCTTTGCTATTTAATACAGAAGAAAAAAAAACAATTCTTCCAATTGGTATTATAACTTTTCAAATAACTTCGCCTTTAGTTTGTGGATCTTGTAATAAATAATAAATAATAATACTATAATTCAGGAATCAATCTTTTTTTTTTCAAAAAAAACTTCAATTATCGTTGTTAATGTTTTTTTAAATTTACAATTATCTATCTATTTATAATTTGAAGTGTTTTTTACTATTAATAATAATTTAATTTTAATTGTATATTTTTTTTAATAATTACTTTTTTTAATAAGTAATTATTAAAAATAACTGTCTCTTTTTTAAAAAATAAACTTTTCAAAAAAGAGACAGTTAATATTTTTTTCTAATTTCATAAACTATTAAAATGAAATTTGTTTTTTTTTTCTATTGTTTTAACTATTAATTTCAACGAAAATTAAAATTATAGTAAATTTTAACATATTAATAAAGTGATAGTATAAATTATTATACTTATTAATAGTAACAAGTAATAGTATTTACAACTATGTAAAAAACTAAACACTGAGTTAAACACTTCCGAACTGTTGCATGGCGAGAGTATAGTAGAATCCTTTCAACTTCAACAACTCCTCGTGCGTTCCTCTCTCAGCAATTTTTCCTCTCATAATAACACAAATCTGATCTGCGCCCTGAATAGTTGACAATCGGTGAGCAATGACAATAGTTGTCCTTCCCTTCGATGCTTTATCCAAAGCGTCTTGTACAATTTTTTCTGACTCAGAGTCAAGTGCACTTGTTGCCTCATCAAGTAACAAGACCTTTGGATTTCTGATTAACGCTCTTGCGATTGCAATTCGTTGTTTCTGTCCTCCAGACATCTGACTTCCTCTATCTCCGACTTCTGTGTTATACCCCTCTGGCATCGCACTAATAAAATCGTGCGCGTTCGCCATTTTTGCTGCGGCATATATATCATCATTAGTGACTTCCATTCCTTTTGGAATGCCTCTTTTAATATTTTCCATCACGGTCTCAGCAAAGAGCACTGGCTCTTGTCCGACCATCCCAATTTGGTTTCTAAGGAATTGGATGTTTAATCCTTTCACATTATGTCCGTCCAACAAGACTTCTCCATGTGTTGGGTCATAGAATCGTTCAATCAATTGGACAGAAGTACTCTTCCCACACCCAGATGCACCTACCAATGCAACAGTCTTTCCTTTCTCAGCTTTGAATGAAATCCCCTTCAAAACAGAGTTCTCCGGACGCGACGGATATCGGAAACAAATGTCTTTGAACTCAACGTCCCCTTCAACTCCTTCAAATATATCTCCCGTTTCATTGTACACGTCTATCTTAGGCACTCGATCGATGACATCAAACGTTTTCTTCGCAGCTTCTATCGCCTTTCCAATATCCGGTACTATCGTTCCAAAGTTCCCGACACTTTGTGCCGCAAAGACTACAGACATCATCGCCTTCTGCATCCGCATGAACCCGTCCATAAAAGCAACATAATACTCCATAAATGGCACCTGGAAATTCAAGTTCTTCTTCAAGATGACTACACCAATGTAAAATCCATATGAGTTGATACAGAATGTAACCAAGTTGTTCAACGCTTGTGTGATCGCAAGAGATGGTCCCCACTTATAGATCCCAATCAATGGTTTATGTAAGTCGCTGACATACTTCTTAATGAAATATGGCTCTTTTGTTAAGGTATGAATAGTTCTCACCGACTCGACAGCTTCAACCAAAGTAATCCCAGACTTCTCATATGCAATAGTTGCCGGCGACGATTGCTGTTTGTTCAATTTCCCGTTAATGAACACAATCACCATCAACACAGGGGTGACCGCCAAAATACATAAAGCCGTCTTCCATTCATAATAAAACGCAATGCCAAGAGCAAATCCACACGTCGAAAGAAGTTGAATAACATTCCCAACTCTCTCCCCTGAAATACCTTTGACTGTTGTCGGATCAGCGGAAAGCCGTGTAGTGACTGCGCCTACCATGTTTTCCTTTCGATCAAACCACGAGACGTCTTGTCGAATAATTGCTTTGTAGAAATTACGTCGCATTCGGGTCAACATCTTTTCTCCAGCTGACAGCATCAACCCAATATACAAGAAGAATGCACAGAACGCACCGGCTCCAATACCAATAATGATCATACACGTCTTAAAGATGGTGTGCTGTTGTTCGTCTGTAATAGGAACTGATGGACTCAATACCATCAACACCATAATAATATCAATGAACTTCAATGTGAAGAACGGGAAGATGGCACCTCCACCAATACCACCTATAAGACCTAACGTACACATTATATACTCATGCGAGAAGTTGTCCCATAACGTTCTCCATAGCGCAAATTGATTCGATTTCTTCAGATGTTTGACTTCATTGTTATAGTCACTTTCTAACTCTTCAACAATATTTGCAGGCTCCATAGTAACAGTATTCTCCTTGTGCAACATCATCGTCTCAGCTTCTTTGTTTTCTTCTTCTCTGAACTTCTTGAGGTCTTCTTCCACTTGGTCTTGGTCGACTTCTTCTTCCATTGATTGTCTTTTGACCAATCCATAGTAAGTTCCTTTGAGATCCATTAACTCTTGGTGGGTCCCCGACTCGATAATTTCGCCTTGATGGAACACACAAATTCTACTCGCATTTTTGACGGTGGTAAGTCGATGAGCCACAACGATAGTCGTTCTTCCTTCAGATGCTTTCTCAAGAGCTTGTTGGACTATTTTCTCCGATTGAGTGTCAAGTGCACTTGTTGCCTCATCAAGTAATAAGATCTTCGGTCGACGAATCAATGCTCTTGCTATCGCAATTCGCTGCTTCTGTCCTCCAGAAAGGGATGCACCCTTTTCTCCCACTAACGTGTCATATTTGTCAGGCAAGTGCATAATAAAGTCGTGCGCATTCGCCATTTTAGCGCACTCAATCACATCGTCCTCTGTCGGGGTTTCATCATCCTTCGCTCCAAGCAAAATGTTTTGTTTAATCGTACAAGCAAACAAGACGGGTTCTTGCCCGACTAATCCAATTTGATTTCGTAACCATTTCAAATTCAAACTGCGGAGATCATTCCCGTCTAACTTAACAGACCCACCAACGGGGTCGTACAACCGTTGGACTAATTGAATAGTTGTGCTCTTCCCACATCCAGACGCTCCTACTAAAGCTATAGTATTTCCATTCGGAATTGATAAGTCGAGTCCTCCCAATATCTGTTTAGTTGGTCGCGTTGGATATCTAAATTGAACATCTTCGAGTGTAATATTCCCATTGCACACTTCAGGCTTTAACCCAACATTTGTCGTAGCATCTATATCCGGAATTCTGTCAATGGTATTGTAAATTCTAAACGCTGCACCTCTTGCAGTGGACAATACATTCAGAGGAATTGCAATCATCGCCAATGACTGTTTGTCACTTTTTAAATTCTTATGAAATTGATTTAACAAACTTGTGTAGCCATTAAAACTGCCATGAACACCACCATCACTGTTGATGAGTTTCGTTGAATTTAATTATTATTGATCTATTATTAACTATAAGTATTAAGTAATAATTCAATATTATAAAATATTATAAATAACAAACCAGTCCCTGGTGAACCATTGTGGCTCCCTCCTTTTCCTTGAATTACTAATGACCCATACCACGAACCAAGAGCTAGAGAACACATCATCACAAACATCATCGCTCCAAACCCAATTCCTACCGCAAGTCCTCTGATCACATGGAACCTTCCAGCTTTGTTTATATTTGCATCGTACGCGGCACAGAACGACTTTTCTTGACTTAGTGAATGCACCGTTCTCATATTACCAATCGTCTCTTCTGCAATAGCACCAGCCTTTCCAGTGGCACCAGACCCTTTAGAAGTCATAATGGTAGCAGTGACACCAAGGAAGAACATGGCACCCATCATGAATGGAGCTGAACATAATAAGACTAATGTCAAATCCCAGGACTTGGCAAAACCAAGTGCGTACCCACTAATGAACGCAGCAAGTGTCTGGAATATCATTCCAAATTTCTGCGACATTCCATCTTCGATTTCTTGGACGTCGGACGCGATTTTTGATGTCAATTCACCGGATTCTTGATGGTCGTACCATCCCATGTCTTGTCTCATCAATGCCGTGAAGTAAAGAATTCTGATTTTGATTGACTGTCTTTGCGATAACACAAAGAAACAGAACGACTGCAAAAATCCAGCAGCCATGTTACCAAGACCAAAGTACAACATTTTCAGTACCAACGTGTGCACAGTGCTTTCGACCATCTCAAATATTTGTTGGTTGATCACATATTGCTGAGAAAGTGGCAACAAAGGGATTTGGGGTAACAAAGACGCGTCCATCGAACCATCTCCTTGGAAGGCATCTATCATATCTCCCATAACAAGCATCATCATCGGCTGTAATATACCAGCAGCAAGTGATCCACATAACCCCAACAACAACATTAACCCATCAAACCAATTGATGTATCTATACAGTTTTCTGATGGAGACAGAACCCTTCTCCTCTGGTTTCTGATTCTTTCGCGATAGGAGATCGGGGTCTGGCGTGACATCAAAGACTTGAAACTCTTCGTTGGAACTGCTCATTGCGTGTATGAGGAAACAAGTTCTTTATATTTCAGGTATTGGGTATTTCTCTATTTTTGAATTGGTCACTCCTTTGTTACTCTTGTCTTTCTTTTCAAAATGCTCCACAACTCGGGAAATAAAGCCTAAGTCGATTATTTGAGCTACTGAAACAAAGTCGTTTTATTTCGCAAAAAAGAGGCGGAGTTGCCCGCTTTAATTCCAAGTCGCTTATTGTTAGATATTGAAGTATTGGAAAAGACCGGGAAGATCAAAGAAAAAATACAGTTCAGAACACCACTGTTTTGTATTTCTTTTATCAACTCTTTTCTATATTATCGGGAAATTAGAAGAAAAAAGTAGGGTTACTCTTTCTAGCTATAATTAAAAAATTTGTCGGAACTTTTTGCCGGATTGGCTAGCAAGAAATACCCATATTTGAATATTCAAATTATAAAAAGTAATTTTTAATCGTTTTTTTCGGGACAATTATCAGTTTGCAAACCAATTATTTCCAAACTCCACCACACCGTTAATTGTTATGTTGTTACCAAAAAGAATTGAATACGTGGTAACATAATAACACTCTTTTAATGACTAAAGGTTTGAAGTTTGACAGTCGCTTTTTCCTTTAAAAACAAAAAGAATTTTTATTTTATGACAGAGATGACTTGACAAATTTTAAAATAATGGTTTATTTTTATTAGAATTATAAAATGTCATATACTATTATTGTTCCAAAAACTTATTTGTGTTTTTCCTTTTCTTACTTTTTGGGTAAACGTTTAAAATGTATTGTGTGTATTTATGGCATAACACAAAATAGTTCGTTACAAGACCCGAATAATCCCACAAAAATGGACTTTTAGTACAAAAAAATCACAAAATAAAAATAGAAACCCAAAACTTTTTAAATAATAAAAATTAAAATCAATTTGACGCAAATCTACAAATTGTAAACTTTTACAGATCATCTCGAAAACAAAGAATAAAATCACCTCCAAGTCACATCCACTTCATCAGTCCTAAACCGTTGATGCACTGTGGTCTCGCTGAGTGGTGTTGAATATCCATTTTTGGCCATTAAGTATCCGGTCCACGCGATCATAGTTCCATTATCGATGCAATACCTCTCGTCCATTGCTCCCAGAATTGCACCTCTATCCTTTGCCATCAACTCTAACATGTTTTGAAGTCGCACATTACACCCAACACCACCGACCACAAGGACTTCAGTTGCAGCACATTGACTCATTGCTCTTTCAGTCACTTCGACAAGCATTGCAAAGAGTGTTTCTTGTAACGAAAAACATAAGTCCTCTACCCCTTCTTTTTTGTTTGCTAACGTTTCAATTGAAGTTAATAACCCAGTCAGTGAGATGTCCATCCCTTTCACAGAGTATGGTAACGTCACTAACTTCTTACCTTTTTTAGCTAACTGTTCGATGTTATAACCAGGTGCGGGCTCATTTGGTATCATCATAATACGTGCAAATCTATCAAGACAATTCCCAACAGCTATGTCAATAGTCTCGCCAAAGATACGATACTTCCCCAACGAAAAGGCAATGACCTGCGTGTTACTCCCAGACACATATAAACAAACGGGGTGCTTCGCACCAGTCGCCAACATCCCCATTTCAATATGAGCAACACAGTGATTGACTCCGACAATTGGTTTGTGCCACAAAAGAGACAACGTTCTTGCTACAACAGCACATATCATGAGTGGTGCCGCTATTCCTGGTCCTTTTGTGTATGCAATAAGGTCGATATCCTCTTTCTGTAACTTCGCTTTTGTGAGTGCTTCTTTGATGAGGCGGATGATATGAGTTCTGTGATGTTCAGCAAGTTGTCTTGGCAGAAAACCTTGTCCGATCGGCGCATAGTAACTATCTCTGATATTACTTAAGACTTCTCCGGTCGAGGTCACAATGCCTACGCCCAATTTGTTTGCGCTTCCCTCCAACCCCAATATGTATTTGATCTTCCTCTTTTCTTCTTCCATTACTTTTTTGAGTCTATTTCTTCTTTTTCTATTAATTAATACTTTTTAATCATTATTTAATTAGAAATTATTAATTCTTGTGACTTATTTGTCGATTCAATACTACCGTTTTATAGTAAATTACTAGTTGGAGAACTAGTTAGTATACTTATAACACAATGAGATGAACTCTAAATAAGTAGAGTATAATGTTTGAGTCAATAGTCTCGGACCTTTTGATGCGATACTTTGGAAAGTATATCAGCGGACTTAACTCACAGAACTTGCAAGTTTCTTTGTGGGCCGGGGATGTCACTTTGGAGAATCTTGTGATCAACGAAAACGCTTTCAGCTACCTTCTTGTTGGTGTCCCTCTCAAAGTTATCAAGGGAACGGTTGGGAAAATGTCACTCCACCTTCCATGGAATAAGTTGAACTCACAGCCTGTTGTTGTACAAATTAAAGATGTGACTATAGTTGTGACGACTGATTACAGCGTCGATGCAAGTGTAGTAGCGTCACAACTTGAAGATGAAGAACAAGCGTCGAAGCAGAGGCAACTTCGTAACTATGAGATTAGTTCAGACAAAAGCACTATGACACAACGACTGTTCACAAAGATATTGAACAACATGCAGATCGACATGAGTAACATTCATGTGCGATATGAAGCAGTTAACACGTGGACTGGATTACGATATGCAATAGGGACTTCTATAGAATCAATCAAATTGTATTCCACAGACGAGAAGTGGAATTCGACGTTTGTGATTGATGCGACTGGTGTGAATTACAAAATTGCTGAAGTTGTGAAGATGCGTGTGTATCATTGCCAGACAAAAGAAGACAAATTCGATGACTTGAAGACGTCACTTCCTAAAAGCTCGATCCTCGAAGACTTGACTACAAAAATGAAACTGACGTTATCAGACAAAGACGAGGACTTCCCTGTTTTGGCCAAAGTACTTCTCGAAGTGATCAAAGTGAATGTGACACAAGACGTTCTCATTGATGCTAAGAGTCTTATGCAGCAACAGAAATTGTTTGAAGGGAAGTGTAGTCAAAGCACACGAAATATCCTCCGCCCAAGCGAGGCGGTTAGTGCGGAGACTGCCAAGAAATGGTGGGTCTTTGCAAAGGAGAGTATTTTAGCTGAAGTGCGGAAGAAGAGATATAAAGAGAGTGACGAATACAAGAAGAAGCGTAAGACGGAGCGCCAAGAATACACTGACATCTACACTCGTGTTCTTAATGACACACCAACAGAGACGGACAAACAACGATTTGCAGAATTGGAGAAAGACTTGTCGGTAAAGGAAATCATTTACTTGCGGAATTATGCAAAGACGGAGACTGACGAAGCAAAGAAGAATACAAATGGGATATGGAGCTGGATGGGGTATTCTGCAGAAGTCAATTCACAGTTATCGGAAGACATCCACACCTTTCTTGGGGCTTCTGATGACGAAGACTTTATCGATACGAAGAAGTTGAAACAACTGTTGTTCAGTGTAGAGATCAATAAAGTGTGTCTTGGGTTGTTTGGGAAAGGCAGCGCTGATGCGTTTGTGAGTTCTGAGATTTGTGGAGTGGTATGTAGTGTTGAGAAGAAAACGATTGGGTTCACTGCAAATGGTGTAGTTGGCGATTTTCTCGTCAAAAGCACGACTGACAAGAAGTATCCAAACATTTTCCAAGCTACAAACAAGGCTGAAAAACTGTTTGAGATCAAATTGACCAGCGAAAAAGAAGATGAAAAGACGACAAGTGACTTTGTCGTTGAAATCCAGTTGCGTCCAACACGGATTGTGTACAACAAGGTTATGGTAGAGGAGTTAATGAACGTTTTGAGAGCGCTTGACATTGTTGAAACATACGGACAAGTAGGGATTAGTCTTCCTTCAGTCAACATCAAGAGCATTTTAGATGAACACATCAGAGTAACAGCTTCAGCAACTATCCACACACCATATATTATCATTCACTCTGGCGAACAGGAGATTCATGTCGACCTTGGCATTATTGAGGTCAAAACATGTGAACGGACTGGAATCTATGACACTTATAAAGCAAGTATAACTAACATTAACTGCAAACTTGTATCAAATGAGAAGGCGGAAGTACTTCTTGAGAAGACGGCACTCAATTTTGAAGTGCAAAAGTCGTTATTAAGTTGGAAGGAGATGAAGAACAAAATGGGCACGTTCTCACCTGGAGTCATTGTCAATTGTTGCTTTGACGAGATCAAAAGTCACATCTCAGCGGAGCAAATGGAGACCATGGAAATGATGTTTAAAGAACAGAAGCCGCAACCAAAGAGTGAGAAAGAAGCTATACAAGACTTACTCAATACAGATGACTCAGAAGAACTTGGGGAAGACAATATCCAAATACCTGAAGACTTCGTCAAGTTCCAAATCTTTCTGAAGATCCCAACACTCAGTGCACTCATATCACAGAAAACTGATGAACTTCTTTTTGATATCAAAGCAAAGGGTCTTGAAATGACTTCACTTGTCAAAGACACTAAGACATCCGCAGACTTCAATTTCTCTGATGTTGTTGTGACGGATGAAAACGGAAATGTGTTCTTCTCGAAAAAACAGACCTCAGAAGCTCTTGTTTCGATGAGCTTCTTGAACGAAGACGATAAACCTATTAAAGCAGTTTTCAGAGCATCACAATCAATCATCAGATTCGACTTGCCACATTTGGACCATATCCTCCACTTCATATACACTTCTCCTCAACAAAACACTCAACAGGTCGTTGTCAACAAGAAGAAACAGAAGGTTGTAGAGGTACAGATTCAGTTCACGGCAATTGACTTAGAACTGAAGAATAGAGGAACTCCACTTGGTCATGGGAGTGCTGTTGGTGGACTGATCGATATCATCATTGACAATAACAAAGACGTCACTCCCGACATCACAGTCAAAGGTAGTTTTAAAGAGATCTTTGCTATAGATGACACACTAAGTGGGAAGGTATACCCTAAATTAGCACAAACGGGTACAACGCCATTCAAATTTATATACACCCACTCCTCTGAGGCCAAAGCAATTGAACAGCGCTTCAAACATTATATGTTATTAGAGGCGGAACACGTCACCTTTGTGTATTTGAATTTGTTCATCCAACAAATATACAGTTGGCTCCTCGACTTACTTCACATCTGTTCAGTGAGAGTCTTTCCATCTAATACCCCTTCATATCAATATGACAGATTGAACTTAGAAGCTAAGGTAAGGGATGTGACTCTTACTATTCCAGTCGCATCGTATAGCGATGAAGCTATTGATATGAAGATTGATTCATTGGCTTTACAAAGCACGTGGGAAGAACAAATTCTCTCGACGAAGTCGTTGAGTGTCGAAAACGTTCGGTTTGATGACAAACCCGCTGCTGAAAAAGTTGTTTTTGACTTCACGTTTCCGGATGACGAGAATCAAGCAGTGGACTTCCCGGCGTGGGAAATCAACTTGAAAATACCAAATGGGAATATCGACTTGACGCCAGAAAGGTACAGAGAATTGGTTGGACTTATTATGATCAACTTGGACGAGCCTAACAAGCACCAAGACTTAATCAAATACCATCCAGACATGACGGTCAATGCAAAGGAATTGAATTCGATTCGAAGTCGAGTCTTCACTGCTGATGTTGATAAAGCCGAATTGAATATTAAGAGTAAAGAAGATGATTTGGGTGTCATGAGTTTCGATAATATGAAGTACAAATACATTGGTCTTCCTTCAGATTGTTCCAATCATATAGTCGATGTCCAAAATGGTGTTTTTATTGACTTATTAAACAACAAACAGAAGTTGTTTTGGGTGGATCAAAATGCGGGGAACAACTTCTTGAAGTTCACATTTGACACTTTAGCGACTGAAAAGAAGATCACATTGGCCTTTGGGAACTCTTCGAATATTAGACTCACGCAAGAGACTTTACTCAAATTGATGACATTTTTCGGAGTTGAAAAGAAGTATATGACAGTAGAGAATGTGGGAGTGAGTGTACAACGTATTCTAGAGGACAAAACATTCACATTCAAGTTTCTTATGAATGGCATCAACTTCATCTTAAACGACAAAGAAGGCGACTTCACAACATTCACCCTTTCAAAGAGTTTTGTCGAGACCGTCTCACGCGGGGAAGATACGAAAGTCTCTGGGACAATAGGAACACTGACGGCAAAAGCAGAGGAAGTGACCATTTTGTCGACTTTGAATAATGTCGACATGGGGACTTTCTCGTATTCGTATGAAAAGGCAAAGTGTCTTTCTGTCTTTACTGGACAGCTCTCCCAAATACACGCGATTTTCAATGACAAAGCCATAATACGGGCGGCACAGTACTACGATAATGCATCGAAAATTATGAGTGCACTCAAAGGAAAGACAGTCGAGTTCATAGAGAAGACTGCAAGTGTGTCTCGAAAGATTCGATTTGATTTTGTCATCGAGACGCCACGAATTGATATCAGAGATGTCACCGCAAGACTTGGTGTCGTCACCATAAAAGATAAAGCGGAGGCATTAGAAGAGAAGTTGAATATAATAGGGTTACTCCGAGACACAGAAGTGAAAATAGGTGAAGATATCGTAGTGAAGTGTGATGGTGTAGAAATGGGTATATCTGTCAATGATGCGAGTGATGGAGTTACTGATGTTGATATGGATGTAGATTGTGGTGTTATTGATATCTGTACGACGCCACAAAACTTGACTTCATTGTTAAACGTAGCGGACGCTGTCATCAAGACATCACAACAGATCACTAATGGAAATAAATAATACTTAATCTATTGAATACTATAGATCTTATTTATTGAATTTTCCATTTGAATTATATTTTTACTATAAATAAAACTATATGGAAATACTATTAAGAGAATAGAAAAATACTATTGTTTATTAAACATTCGAAGCAAGAGGTTACTCTTTTAAAAGAAGACTAATTTCTTGTTCAAAATATTTTCTGATGTTTGTCCGTTTTATCTTGAGAGATGGAGTTATCAAGTCTCTTTTGGTGTCGAAGGGGATGGGATGGAGAATTAGTCGTTTGACCTTTTCAAAGCCTTTTAGGTTGTGTTCGGTAGCAATTTTGGATAAATTGTCTAACACCATTTTAATGACTGTGGGTTCATGACACAATTGTTCCAGATTTAAGTTTTTACTTGTTTCTGATTTGTATTCGCTTCGAATCGCAATTTCATTTGGAACAACAATTGCATATAAATAATTCAAAACCGACTTTCCATCCACAAAGATGTCGTGAACAAAAATGGACTCTTGGAGGATATTCTCGATCTTTTCTGTTGAGACGTATTCTCCTTGAGACAATTTAAAGACGTTGTTTGCTCTCGCGATGATCTCAAAATCGCCATTTTTGTATTCTGCAATATCATTTGTCTTAATCCACCCATTCACAATGCTTTCTGTATTAACCTTTTCACTTTCTTTGTAATACCTTTTGAACCCAGCCGTGGTCTTCAAGTAAATTTCTCCACAGCATTGATGGTTTCTTGTACAAAACCCCATCTCAGGTACACATTTTAACATCACTTGACATGTTGGATATGGCCGTCCTGTTGTAGTAAATTGGACACCATCACAAAATCTTGATGCAAGTCCCATCCCACACGTTTCAGTGAGTCCATAACCAATGAATAAAGCATCGACAATTACTACTCTAAAAAATCGAGCTATTCCCTCCGGTAAAGGAGCTCCTGCTGATATTATGATTTGAAGTCTTCCCCCAAATTTGTCTCTTATTCTTTTGAAAAAGATGTTGTCGAACTCCGGCGTGAGTAATGTCGGGGTGCTAAGGAGCAACTGTTCTTTAGTTTTATAAGCCGTGTGATACAATACCTTCTCAACACAACTCAAGTTGTTTATGCCTTCCATCACTTTCATATGAATCGTTTGTAACACACGAGGCACTGCGGCGAGCACGGTTGGCCTTAACATATTGATGTCTTCAACTAGTGTTGGTATCCCTTTCGACATTAACCCAATGACACCACCCAATCTATAAATAGTCATTTCTAAAACTATAGCAAAGACATGGCCAAGTGGGAGAAAAGACATACTAACCATTGGGTGTGTCTGTCTGTTATATAGTTGAAGGATCTCAAGTGGTATCCGTTGTACAAGACTAGTAGCACAAGCTATCAAATTTTGATGTGTTAATAATACACCCTTAGACTTTCCAGAAGTGCCACTTGTGTACATAAGAAGTGCATCATCTTCTGGTGACACTTTTTTTAATAAATAATTTGAATTTACTCCATCAGTGTATACACTTTTAAATGTTAAGAGACTCTGATACTTCTCTTGAACCGGAGTGTCATAGTCTTCCATAATAATGACGTTCTGAAAGCAATTGACTCTTTGAAGAACACAAGCTTTATCTTCTGAAGTAAAAATGACTTTAAGTTCAGCATGAGTACATATGTATTGCAAAGACTCATCCCCAAGAGAGTCATATAATGTACATATCCTTGCCCCAATGTAACTACAAGCAATGAAGAGATAATGCCACTCAAGTCGTTTCGAAGAGAAGAAACCGAGATTGTCTCCTTTTTTGATTCCATGTTTAAGAAGTCCTTTTGCAAGTGTTTGTGAGTATTCCAAGACCTCTCCATATGTTCTAAAATAATAATGGCCACGCCTTCCATCTTGTAAATATTCTCTTTCGCCAAGAAATGGAAGAGTGGGATTGTCTAACGTCCAATATTCCAAAGCATCTATTGGAGAATGAATGTAAGGGTGGTCGCTTATTAATAATTCATTCCCATTCGCTTCAAATTCGTCAGGATTGATGTATATTGTGTGTGTACTATGGTCTTCCATAATCGATGATATAATAAGATAACAGTAGTCCGAACAATAATAGTATCTCATTCCACAAGTAAACAAAAATTTGAACCATTCAGAGGTAATGTTGTCTTAGTGACTGTGTATACCCGAAATTGTACTATAAAAATAATGTTTTTTCTACTATAAATCGGGTCAATTATTTTGTATAACAATTTTGTGGGTTATTGTTGACTTCTTTTGGTTCGAGTTTTTGGGAAAAGTGATATTTTGTGCTTTTTTACTCAATTATAGTAATTATTAATTTGCATTTTGTTTTCATAATTTAAATATAAAAAAATCTATTATTCATAAATAGAATTATTGTTTTGTTCTACTTAAAAAGTGTATTAGCAAAAATATTAAATTGAATAATAAAATATAATACAATATTTATTGTCTTATATTTAATTTATTCCAACACTATTTTTGATGCGATGTGATTTTGATAAAATGAGAAGATTCAAGAACAGAAAGGTATTTAAGTGGAGAAAACACATAAGAAAACAATCAAATATCATTGCGCTTCTGGCGTACTTTCAGTTCCATGAATGACATACTTCAGTGGGAGATTTTTATAAATAATTTTAGTACTCTTGACTGGGTTTTCGATTGGTTCTTGGTGTTCCACTTCCATTTGTTCGTCTTCTTCATTATTGATAACAACCTGTGGCACTTGTTGACCTGTCAACTCCTCGAGCTTTTCAGCGAGAATTTTGACCGTCTGGTTATTCTCCAAAATAAGACGTTTGACTTTCTCCTTCTTAAGACTTTCTATTCTCAACATCAACTCGTTGTTCTGCATCTCATCGATTGCGTCTTTAACTTCATAAAACGCTTTCTCAAAATCGGCTTTGCGGTATTCTTCCATCTCTTGGTATCTTTTGATGTCCGGTTTCTTCTCTTCATCTATTTTCTCGAGGCGACTCTTCTCGGCTTTGAGTGCCAAATTTCGCTGGTAAGCCCGGTTGAGTCGATTTTTCGATTGTTCTACTCTCCGCAAAGCATCAAACCGTTTTTGCATTTGCGATGGGTCAAAATGGAACTCTGACCTTTCGTACAATTTTTTCTCTAATTGTTTAATTTGACTTTGGAGGTTTGCGATTTGTTTGCAGTTTTCTTTGATTTCTTCAATGGCTAAATGCTCTGAAACAAGCGACTCGACCAATTGCTGCTTTTGTTCTTTGACAGAGGCCAACACTTTCTCCAACGTTTCACACTCCATTGACCTTTTAGTTTTTTTGTTTTTTTTATTAAAACCATTGGTATATTATACCAAAACTATATTCAAATCATATAAATATAAATCTCAAAATAAACAATTCAAATTAAAAGACAAATTCTAATGGTAAGTTTAAAATTACCATTTTCAATAATATAGTTTTAATAACATTTTCAAAAAAAGAAATTTTTAAAATGTTATAAAAATAGCCAAACAAAAAAACTAAAGTCCAAGTTTTCAAGATGAAACGTTAAAAACGACAAGGAACTGAATATTTATAAACAGATGGGAGACGAAGATAAGGTAATCGACTATTCCGCTCAAGTCCAACAGCACGTTGATATCGCTGACCAATTTATCAAGGGCAAAATCCAGTTGGACGAGTGCCTCAACCAAATATTCGACATTATCCCATTGGGATGCAAAGATACCAAAGTGTGCGTTTGTTTCTCTTAATAATTGGCTTTACGCTCTCGTCCTTACTATGTTTTCTGCTTATTGTTTCATTTACTAACAAACAGGAGGACAATGCCGCCGCAGTCCTTTCAGTCCTTTGCAATGTCAAAGATGTTAAGCCAGAAGTTGTCGAAAAACTCAGCTCGGACCAGCAGGATTGGCTGTTGATGTATGTCTACAAAGGACTTGGTGCTTCAGAAAACAAAGACGCGACCTACATCCCCGCGTCTCCACAAATTTTGTTCAAGTGGTTCTCCGTCGTCCAGTCTGTTGCTGGTGACGGATGTGTGATGAGAGCCGTTTTACGAAGACGTGCACTTTAATTCATTTTCCTCACCCTTATTTTCCCACATTCCGCACAATTAGTCAATCTCGTTGTGATTGTGACAACTTGACTTTAAAAGATGATTAAGACACCATTTTTCGTTTTGCAAATGTCAATCAAAATGGAATGAAAACCAATAAAGAGAAAACAAAGAAAATTAAGCATATCCATAAAGAGTTCTGCCCTGTCTCTTAAGTGCGTACACAACATCCATTGCAGTCACAGTTCTTCTCTTTCCATGTTCAGTGTAAGTGACCGAGTCCCTAATGACTTGCTCTAAAAATTGCTTCAACACGTTTCGAGTTTCTTCGTAGACAAGGCCATTAATTCTCTTGACACCACCTCTACGCGCAAGTCTTCTAATGGCGGGTTTGGTGATTCCTTTCAACGCGTCTTGTTGTCCAGGCTTCGATCTGATTCTCTTTCCTCCTTTGGACGCTTTTGCACCTTTGGAACCCTTTCCAAGTACTACTCCTTTGCCTCCTTTTCCTCTTCCACTTCCGGTTTCTGTTGCCATGATGAAATCACGATTTGATTTTTTAGTTTTTTCCGTCTTTTTATAGTTCCTCAATTTAGGGTTGCACATTTTCTCTTTTTCTCGAAAAGAGAAAAAACACCGTTCCTCCCATTTCTCCATCTCTCAATCTTTAATTCCTTTGTGACAGTTTTTAATAACATTTGAATATCATTTTTGTATTTTTTGATTTATTTTGTATTTTTGAATTTTTTTTGTAAATCGAGTTTTTTTGAACGTCATGTGGTCGTCTTCACAGCCTTTGTGCCAATTTTCATATGAATATAGTTATATCACGCGAGGGAACTCAGACCCTCAAAAATCAGGCTCATCACTGAGCGACTCGAGTAATGTCGACTCCTTCTGTTTCTTTGAATATAACAACGACAAGTATTTTGCAATAGGAGACCACTCTGGAAGACTTTCAGTCTTTAATTACTTCAGTGGAGTTATACTCAAGTCGGTGACAATCAAATCATGTGCGACTGGACAACTCCGCGCAAAGAAGTTTGCGATGTTTCTGAAGGAAGTTATTGAAGAGACGGAGGAGAAGATCAAACGAGTGAATAAAGCAAGACTGTCGCGCGGGATCATTTCATTGCAAAAAACTGGACAAGTAATAGACACGACGCCGATACTGAAAGAGAACAATATCATCGACGACTACACCGCAGAGGCAAAGAAAAAGGAAGAGATCGACGCAGAATTGGCAAGTCTGACAAATGAAATGGATGAACTCAAAAAGATGCATCAAGATCTTCAAATACAATTCAAACAATTGACGCCATCAACTGAGTATATTTTATTGACAACAGCTGAGAATTATATTAAAGAAGTGTTTGAAAAATATAATTTTGATTGTGAGAGTAAAATGATATCAAGTGGAGCTATAGGAGATGTAGTCTTTTTAGATGGCGTTTTATGCGTCGCGTTTCGTAAAGATCTCCATAAAATCTCGTTCACGGAATTTATAGAAAATCAACAAGACGAATGGATTGTCAAAGAAGGTTCAAATACTGTACATGATGGAATGATCAAAAAAATCCACATCATCGATAATATCCTCGTTACTATTGCAAATGATAAAAAAATAGCTTTATGGACTATCCAGAACGAAATGCCCCTTTGTATCATTTTAAGAGAAAGCGATGATTATTACAAAACGTCCGAAGTCATTACTTATAACAACCAAAACTATTTGTTCATTTCACGACAAAACGAAATCCACGTCTTTTTGATGGACACACAAAATCCAACGAATTCTCACTTTCTCCAAAAACTCGAAGTCAACGGAAAATCAATCCACGAGGATGACGTGGACATCATTGCTCAAACCAGCCAAAACCGCATTTTAACGGCATCGTGTGAAGGTCGAGTAGTTATTTGGGATTTAAAATCTTTAACATTCTCTCAATTGATTCATTTAATTTCACATAACACTGATCAAAAGAAATTATATAATATATCGGCAATGGTTTCGGTTTTAGAAAGTAATGGCATAACTCATTATTTAACATTTGGGCAATGGATAGTCGCCCTTGAAGAGAAAAACGGGGTGTTTAGTGACATCTCTCCAAAACGAAATGAAGACGTATTTCAACAACCGTATGGAAAATATTCCGTTGACGTGACACATATTCTTACCATCGGAAATATCGTTTTGGTAGTCACGGCAGAAAGTGGGACTATTTATATTCACATGAAAAACAAAAAGCCACGTGGAAGAGATGAATTAGTTTTTATTGAAAGTATTAATCTCAATGGAAAAATAACGGCCGTACATATGTTAGATATAGACGAAGGGAGTTTCATAGTTACCATTAATGATGGGACTGTTTTGATGCTCAAAGATTCCGCAAAGGAAATGAAAAGAAGGCAGACATTGTTCCTCGCTGAAATGCAAGGATTTTAATAACTTTTTATTAATAGTTAATAGGTTATTTCGAATGATTCTGAAATGGTATGTTTATAATAGATTTTATTATTCTCCATACATCCAAAAAATATACTAAATTATAGTATACAAATAGTAACAAAAAGTCCAAAGAATTTTACTAAGAAAATTAAAGAATAACAGAACTAGTAAAACAGAAAAGGCAATGATCAAGGCTTTTTTCATTATCAACAACATGGGAAAAATCCGTTTGGTGCGGTTCTATAACCACGCAAAGGAAGAAGAACAACAGAAAGTCGTGAGAGACATGTATGCCCTTATGTGCAAAAGAACTGGAAAATCGTGTAACATCATTTCTGTCCCTCAATCTATTTGGGGAGAAAAGGGAATTACTGCTGTGTGTAGGACGTACGCAACACTCAGCTTCGTCTGTGTCTTCGACGATAATGAAAACGAGCTCTTCATCCACTCTCTCATTCAAGTTTGTGTTTATAATTAATTTATAATAAATTTACTATATTATTTTGTAGTATTTTTTTAATTAAAAGTTAAATTTCTTTTGTAAATACAATAAACTATAGTTTATTATAATTTTAAACTAATGAAACTAGATAGTGAATTCTACTTTTAAATTAGAATTAAATTATAAAAACAACTAAAATTTGACACACAGAAAATTGTAGAAGTTCTTGATAAGTGTTTTGAAAACGTCTGCGAGTTGGACCTTGTATTCCACGCTGATAGAGTACATTATGTCCTCAATGAATTCATTCAAGCGGGTTTGATACTTAATATAGACACGGACAATATCGTCAAAGTCCTAACGGAACAAGCCACACTCGAGAAAACAGACGCCCCGGCCATCAAACAGACTGCTGTGAACGTTTAATTCGATCATTTCTTATTTTTCATTTTGTTTTCGTTTGAGTCGTTCCACAATATTAAGTGGGAATAGTGATTGATTCATTTTCAACTATTAAAAATTAAGTTAATAAAAACCGTTTAATTTATGAAAAATTCCAAAATAGTTTTAATAACTTTGTTTTCCGTTGAAACTAGAAAGGGAAACTAAGTAGCAATCTTGTTATTTGAAAAAAACAAATCTCCGTTTTTTCATTATTTTTCAATTTTTTCGTAATGCTTTTTTGTTCTATAAGAATATTTTAATCTCGAATTGGTCAAAAAAAAGATTGAAAATGATCAATTATATTATACTTATAGTTACAAATACAATACACATATTGTACATTTTCATTAACAAATGAGAAGTAAAAAAGTTGATAAATATAAATTAGCAAAGTCAGAAAATAGATTGAGGAAAGCCGAACGACACGATATTTGAGCGAAGAAAGTACTGCAAAAAGAACAGAAAACAACAAATGACCGACGCCACCGAAATGATGAAAATGATCGACTTTCTCCCACCAAGAACACACAAGCCAAGAGACCACGGTTTTACAATGGTCATGGACAAAGGTCTTGGTCCGCATGAGACCGAGGACTTGTGCATCACCGCCGCACCATATATCGACTTTCTTAAGCTTGGATTCGGTACCTCTGTTTTTACTGGTGGACTCAGAGAGAAACTTGCTATTTACAAAAAGTATGGCGTTGAAATGTATGTAGGAGGAACATTTTTAGAAGCGTTCATTGCAAGAAACAAGATGCCAGAGTTTCACAAAATTATGAAAGAGTTTGGAATCAAGATGGTTGAAGTGAGTGATGGCTCATACGAGATGGGCGCCGAGAAGAAGATTGAAATAATCAAGGAATGCACCCAACATGGCTACTATGTTTTATCGGAAGTGGGCAACAAGTGTAAAGACCGAGAATACACCAAAGAGGAGTGGACTGATTCAATGAAGGCCGAACTTGCTGCCGGATCAAAGGTTGTGATTATCGAAGCACGTGAGAGTGGGACCACTGGAATTTATAACAAGGACGGGAGTGTTAACAAGGATATGGTCGACTATTTGTGTAAGGCTGTTGATCCCAAGAAGGTGATGTGGGAGGCCCCAATGAAAAGTCAACAAGCTTGGCTCATTGACACTTTTGGCATTAACGTCAATCTTGGGAATATTGCTCCCACTGATGCAATTGCGCTTGAAGCACTTAGAAACGGGTTGAGAGGAGACACCTTTGCCCAAATTCTTGCAGGAAAGTTCTAAATTGGTCTTTTTTAATACTTTATGTTTAAATCCCACGTAATAAGTGTTATTACTACTTATAATATGAATAATGTATTTTATAATATAGAATTATTATATTAAATTTTAAAACAGATCAACAAATAATATTATAGTTCTCTGAATTATAAAATATAATATAATTAAAACAAGTAAAAAGTAAAAGAAAACAATCAGTCAAGCCTTCGTCTGGAGTTGAATAATGAAATCCCTTTGTGTTTTGAGGGACGCTTTCAATTCAATAAGATACCTTTCTTCGATATCAACAGAGACATTGACATCGACAGTGTTTGCCTTTGCAAACTCCTCAAGTTGTTTAGATAGCTCTTCAAGCTTTTTCACGTGTTCGACTTCTTGAGGTGTCAAATGTGTTCTGAACGCAACAAGTGCCTCCCTCACTTTTTGTTGTTGGGCTTTGATTTGTTTGTTTCGTTGGTTGATGTACAGTTGCTTTGAGTGTAGTGCTGTGACGCCGTCGATGATTCGTTGAGTTCGTTGTAAACAAATAGCCAATCGGCTTTGAATTTCGTTTGAGTCTTTCACCGCAGCTAAAACCCTTTTTGTCAGTTGTGCCATATATCGTCGTTTTTACACAAAACAAACTCAATGGTTATCTTCCCGTATTCCACTTCCATTGCTTTAATCACTTCAACAGCTTTGTTTAATTCACCCATTTCTCTTTTTCTCAGTTCTTTGTAAATGTCTTAAAATGATATAACATTTTAATAACATTTTTAAAAACAATCAAATAACATTATTAATACCATTTTTTGTTTTTATCATACTGTTATTAATACTGTTGTTAATTTTAGTAATAATGTTGTACTGAAAATAAATTAATATTTAATAGTATATTTGTTATTACTGTGGTTATTAAAGAAGAATGAAGCTTGTAGAACAACTTAAAAGTTAATGACATCAATAGAAGAGAAACCACAAGAGAAAACGGAGAAAACGCTGTTGTACAAACCACTATATCCCCCTTCACCAGACATTACAAAGAAAGTCGAAACAAAAGAAGACGCATTCAAGTTTATTAAAACACTGGACGAACATTTGCTATCTAATAATGGGTATGTTTTATTCGAAAAGATTATTCAATTCATATTTGAGAACCCTGTGTTGGGATATTACGCCTTTCCACATTACATTAAGTTGACTGACACGACAAAAATTCCATATTTCAACTTCGTGAGATATTTGGTGATATACGCACCTTTCCAAACGCTTCCTAATGGATTTTTGGAAGTCATTATTTCAAGAACAATTGATGTGATCAAGCACCATCTTAAACGAGATACCCTAGATGACACAGATGCGGTCTTATATGAGTGTTACCAAATCCTTATCCACGCGATATCATCGAAGCCAGAAATTGAAAAACTCATTCTGAAAGACTCGGATGATATATTCAGTCCATTAATAGGAAAAGATCCATTACAATTCAAAGACTTAAGAAAGACTCTGCACCTTCTTTTAGACCAACTTAAAGAGAAAAATGGTATACTAACAAACTTACTCAACAATTTGAAAAAGATCGAAATTGACTGCGCGAAGAGTATCTTTGAGAAGAAAAGAACGAAACATGAATTTTGTGGAATGGAGAATTGTGGTGCGACGTGTTACATCAACTCTGCAATACAACAACTCCACGCGAATAAAGACTTTAGAGAATGGGTATTAAAAAGTGACTCGAAAGGGTCTCACGCTGTTTTAAAAACGTTATTTGAACGCATGAATCACGAAGAAAGTTATGTGACCACAAAAGATGTCATTCAAAATGTCTTAGGTGATGGAAAAAGTATTGAGACGGGCATACAAGACGACTCATATCTTTTCCTCACCAACCTACTTGAGTCCATTCGTGAAGAGAATGCAAGTGACGTGAAGAGTTATCAGATCATTATCAACAGCACTTTGAAATGTACAAAATGTGGAACGTCGAGAACTTCGTCTGAGAATTCTTCATCAATTCGAATTGATTGTGTCCACAGTGACACATTCGAAGATGCACTTCTTAAGATGACAGAAGAAGAGTCTGTGAGTGGCGTCGAGTGTCAAAATTGTAAAGAAAGGACTGAACATACAAAGACACTTACCTTTTCGACTCCTGAAGTTTTAATCATAGGTATCAACCACAATAAAACAAGTGAAGGAGGAATCAACTATAAGTTGAATAAGTACTTTGAGTTTCCATTGGCACTCAATTGGAACAACGAGAATATGGAACTGAGTGGAATCATCTTACACAGTGGTAATGTCAATGCGGGGCATTATACGTCAATCATTAAAGGAGACAATGGCAGGTGGTGGAAGTGTAACGACAAAATAGTAGTGGAATACAATGAACGACGTATTAAAGAAGACAGCTATGGGAGTCAGTCCAACTCCTTGTCCGCCTCTGTCTTGTTCTATAAGAAGAGTGTCGAGAAAGTCTGTAAAGAGAGTGAAGAAGAGAAGAATGAGGAGTTTTTGAGTCATTTACTTCCCATGTGGAGTGACGATTTGTTGTATAAAGATCTTGAAAAGATGCATACTGAGACGTGGATTTTGATGGTATTATGGTATGGAGGAGATCCCTCCAAATTTACTGATTATGAAAATATGAAGTTTGATGCAAATAAAGAGGAGAACATGACTACAATTTCCGCGTTAAAAAAATATGGACTACCAAAGTCAATTGTAGAGACTATAGAAGGCAAACATTCATTCAAATATGTGAAGAACATGATTCAGTTTTTGTGTTCGAATAATGAAGGGAAGAGTTGGGTTCTTGAGTGTTTACTCAAGATGACTACTATTCAAACAACACAAAGACAACACTTCGCAATCGCTTCCTTAATCGAAATGTTACCAAATGATGTAACCCCCACAAAAGACTCTATAAATGTACTTGAAAAGCTGTGTAATACACCAAATATAAATGAAGACATGTACTTAATATTACTCAACACTCTTAACGTCTGCCAAGTAACTTCTTTAGAAAACAATTTCATCACTCAAACACTTTTGCTCTACAAAAACGTGTCAAACATTTCAAAGTGTTATCCATCACTTAAGAAATCATTGACTAAATACACAATACTCACTGACATCTCCCCCGTGTTAAATTCCTTTGTCGATTCTTACTCAAATGAAAAGGACCAACAAAAGCGTGGCGAATGGAAAGACTTCATTGTCTCCACCATCAAACGTCTTCCTCAAGAAATCAACCAAAAAGTGGTAGCGTACTCCCTCAATCATTTTTCCACCGACGAGTTGGTCTGTGCACTCACTGATTAGACGTTAATTCAGTTGTTATCTCTTGAACTATCATTTAATGGTAAATAACTAATAAAAATAGAAAATGTCATACCCATTAGTTATTCAATGTTCATGTCGATGAGGCGGTTTGGATTCTGGCAACAACTGCTTTACGGATCATCTCCTTCAACTTATTTTCAATTTGTTTCTTCTTAATTTCGTCATTGACTGCAATTCGAGCTCTCAAGCATCTCTTCAAATAAAGGACCTTCTTCTTGAGCATATACTCCTTCTGCAACTTGTCTTTAAAGTCTTTTAAAGCTTCTTTAGCATTCAATTTGGATTCTTTGATCACACTCTTCTGAACACCTTTTCTCTTCAAGATGTTAGTGACCATAGCAATATTAGCCTTCTGCTCGACTTCATCCAAATCATCAAGATGAGTGTTGTGTTTCAAAAACTCTTGTGAAGCTTTCAATTGCATCTTTTGCTTTTCCTTCAATGCAGACAATTTGTAGAACTCATCCTTCAACTTTTGGATCTCAATGCGTTCTTTCACAGTTTGCAAATTTGCGTCTTGTGACTGTAACTTCAAGATTTTCTTTTTGAGTTGAACGGAATTATCCAAGATCTTGAGTTTGTCGTTCAACATTTGTTGTTTTGTGATCATTTTCTTACTTGATTTGACGGCTTGACTCAAGATTTTTCGTTTCATTTCGTTCTCGTATTGGTCTTCCTTCTTCCACATCGTTCGCATTTGTTGTCTCAACAATTCTTCTCTTTTCTTCGAGTACATGACCTTCTTAAACGCAACCCGCCTTTTCGCTTCTTCAATTTCCTTTTTCTGTATCTTCATGAGGGCGGCCAATTTCTTCCCTTCGACAACTCTTTCGTGGTCAAACAGTTCTTTCTCAAGTCTCAACTTATCAATTTCCTCTTGGACAACACGTCTTGTGTCAAGGAGATATTTCCCTTTCTTCTCGACAAGCTCCGCCAACAATTTTTTGTCGATGATCTTCTCCTTTTTCTTCAACAATTCGATCCTCTTCTTCTCTTTGTAGTCTTCAAACGCTTTTCTTGCACACGATATTTGACTTAATTTGTGCGTCTTCAGTTCCGCAAGTTGTTTGTATATCATTGTAATCATCTCCGCGTTCCGAGTGATCTTCGCGGCCTTCAGTTGTTCTGCAAGTATCAGTCTCTTTCTTCTATTAATCTCTCTGATCTTTGCTTCCCTCTTTCTTAGTGCCAAAAGTTTCATTTCCTCTCCCGTTTGAAGTCTTCTAATTTCGTCCTTAGTATTTTCAAGTTCTTTAATTCTGGTGACCAACTTCTTATACTCGACCTTTCGGACTTCTTCAACAGCTTTTTGTGTCTCTTGTTTTCGTCTATTTTTACGTTCCAAGTCATTCACAAGTCTTCTCCGTGTTCTCATCTCTTCAGCCATCGTCTCGATATTTGTTTTAGCCTCTTCGAGTGTTCTCACATATTCAACACGCAAGTCGTTCAATTTACTTTTCTTCTCCGAAAGTTCATTCATCAATTTAGTGTTATTGTTGTACTCTTCGATTTTGGTTTTCAGGGTGGCGGTGATCCCGCTCTTCTCTACGGATGACCGTGTCTTTGAAAATTCAATTGTTCGATTCAACTCGCTTTGCTTTTGGTTCAATTCCGCTATCTTGGTCTCGACTTTTAAAATCTCCGCAGTGATATTCAATACGGCCTTTTTCGTCACTTTGGTCCTGTTCCGTTGCAACTGTTTGTGAATCAATTCCTCTTGTGTGCGATTCCCAAACACCTTCGGCGTCGTACGGAAACTGTCGGCATACGCTTTTTGCATCTCTTTCTCGACTACTTTCTCTACGTGTTTCGATGTCTCGGGGTCCAGAGCAATAACGGCATTTTTCCCAAGGCAAAGAACTCCAAAAAGCAACACTACAAGTATGTTGATTTTTACCATTCCAAAATAATACGTATTTTCAAGTTCTTTTTTGTTTTTTCTTTTTTATATGTTCTTTGATTTTCGTTCTTTAGTTTTTTTTATTATTTTCTTTCTTAGTATTTTTAGTGTTGGACATTTGTTTCATGTTATTACCATCTTTTTATTTTTTATAATTAAAAATATCATATTTTTTAATTAATTCATTTTCTTAATTAATAATTAATTCATTATTAATTATAATAAGTAAGTTAAGTCATAAAAGAATTATTTATTAACTATTTTGAATAATAATTTGAAATAATAAAAATATTTAATAAATAATTAATTAAATAGATATTATTAATTATTTATACAACTCATTAATTAATTCTATCCAAAAAACGAAAATGTTATATATAACACAAATAAAACAACGAACTACAAAAAAAGTGAAGCTAATATAATCTAATATAAATTTAAACGAAAACCATTAAATAAACTAAAGAACTGCTGAGTAAAAATTGGAATAAGACTCTTACTTTCCCCTCCAAAGCCCGAGTAAATAACCTTTTCCATAACTGAGTGCTCCACTGAGACTTACGTCAGCAAAACTCGATTCGCTTCCCTCAACATTTTTGAAATTAACCCGATTTGCGACAGCTTCTGGGTCGACTTCAAGAATGATTCCGTCGTCAATGACTTCGTCGATGGTGATTGCCACTTTATCGTAAAACTCGAGGGCAACTTTCTTATCAAATCCCTTTTTAAATATGATGTTGAACGCATCGACAATGCAACTCAGTCCCGTGTTCACAAATAATTCGTTTTCGTTGGGGTCTGTAAGTGCCGCGATTATCAGGTCCGAGACGGTATTGTATATCACAACGTATTTGTCTAACAAAAACAGTTCGCTGTTCCCTTTCATCCCGACGGATTTTGATATGCGCTCTTCAATGTCAATCTGTTTTGCTAAAGGGACGGACGGATTTTTGTCGTAGAACTTACTGTACAGGCGCTTTCCATCGAGGTCCGTAATGAGGAGTGCCTTAATTGTTGGGCTGGTCATTGATTTTTCAGTTTGGGAGATCTGAAAAATCAGAAAGGTGATTTTGATGGAAAGCGTTGTGATTTTGAACACCTCAGGTGATGTCCTTTTTCAATCTATCCGTTTGTTAAATGCATTTTCGTTCCACTGTTTTAATTCTTACGTTGTGTAGTTTGAGAAGTTGAGATATGATCATCACTTTTTTTGCTCAATCTCAACTTAACGTTCTCTGAAACTCGGAACGAAACAACATTTAAGGCTTAATGGCGAGGAATTTTCAAAAATTAATGTGTAGAACAAAAGTATCTTAAGTGCATCGATTTTTACGTACAGAATTTGCTAAACAACGAAAGAGACAATTTTGTTATATCAAATGATGTGCTGTTTGTGAGGTACATCAGAAACGGACTGCACTTCTTGACATTCACAGAAAAAAACTACTCCGTTGCCATCTGCATCTCTTTGCTGCAACAAATAGCAACAGCCATTGGAGATCTATGCAACGGGACGAACGAAAACGAAATACGAACAAACCTTATTCGAGTAAGTGAGATTATCGACGAATTGACAAAAAAGATATCCCTTAAACCGTACCACATTGTCTCCCCGTTAGTCTCCACTTTTTCATTGTCTCAAATGTTTAGTGGAAATGAGAATGATGGAATTTTTGTCGAACACATTGAAACACTCAGCAGCAATGGGAACATTTCTGGTATTATAAACATTAAAAGCTCTGTACCACAACAATTCAACTTCGTGTTAAAACACCCGGAAGATGTAGTTTTTTATGGAACAAAACCACAGAATGGTTTTGTATCGATCCCACTCTTGTTCGGAACTACTCGTGTACTCTCATACAAAATGCACAAAGAAGTAAACCCACCATTTTTGATCCAGATGAAAGTCGAGAAAAACGAAAATTACATCAAATTTGTTGTATCAGTAACACAACGTGTAATCGGAAAGTGCTATTTGATATTCCATCGACCAAGCCATATCACAACCGTGAGGACCATTGATGGAAATGGGGTTTTGGATCTTCTCAGTTATCACGACAAAGTGCGCTATTCCGTTATTGGGACGGGTTCTTTGAAGTTCTCATACCAAGATGGTGTGGTTCCGTGTGTTTCTGATTTCCCTTTTGTGACGGTTGAATTTGAAGCAGAAAAGACAATTGTGTCTGGGACCCAAATCATTCGCCTATCTCCGGAGAGAAAGGAAACACCGGTTTATCTTAAGCAAGCCACAAAACAAGGCTCTTGGACAATAAGAGTTGTGTAATTGTTCTTTCTCGCTTTTGTTTGCGTACATATTCTATTTTTATTATATCTTACCAAATTTAACACTTAAAACGACTCAATCAAAATAGATACAACCACCCTAACGTTTTCTTGGTGTTTGGTAAACAGTAGCTATAATATCACCAGTCAACGTCTTTGCCTCATACTTCTTTCGTTTGTCATTTTCTTTAGCTTTGATTTGTGAATTTAAGAGTGTCTGCTCAGTCTTTCTAATGTCTTGCTTCAAAAGCTTAATCTGTTCCTCGACAGCCTCTTTTCTCTCGAGCTCATGTGACACGTCTATTTTTTCGTAGATTTGCGTGACATCAATCAAATCGCACGGTTCAACCTTTTCAGGAACACCAGCTTTGTTGTATACGATTGTTTTGCTTCGGTGGAATAATAACCGCTTTTGAAGTCGAAGGAGTGCGTTTTTCTTAACCATTAAGATGTGTTCGAGATCTTTTATTGACTCGGCATCGTTCTCGTCTCTTCTAACCATTCTGTGCTTTTTGCGGTCTATGACATATTCGTCCATTTTAGAGCTGTATTCATCAGGGTTTTTTAATGTTGCCTGTCGTTGCAAATATACTTTTGTTTCATTCTGCAATTTTTTGATGCGAGAACGGTGAATGAAATCTTTTCTGCGTTGCAACGTACCTTTTAACCCGTTTGGTTGTTTACGCTCTTTGTGGACAGTCTGGTTGTATGGGTTTCTTCCCATGTTTAGCTTTATACTGTTTATAAAGTTACTAGGGTTTTATAATAAAAAATTATACTTAAATAATTGTTTGTGTTTAACAATTATCTAAATTTTTATTAATGGTTTTTACTCAATAATTCAATGCTATAAATTAGTATGAAGTACTGGATGGTTACTAGGCTTTGCACCCGAGATTATTATTGCCAAAAATTAGTATCGAAAACGCTAATAAAACGGGGCAATTTTTCTTTCCCGTTTTATTAGCTTTTTTATTAACTAATTTTTAATAATAAAATTTTCAGGTGCGAAGCCTAATGGTTACTCTACCTTATGCAAAACTTTTTTAACACTTAAAATAACGCCCTTGTTTTTGTTTTGGCTTGTTTTTACAGGGATATTAATCCATTATTTAATCATGTTCCTTTTTTGGCTTGTCTATAGTTTATGCACATAATACAATCTCTAAAAAAATGTAAATTTATTTAATAAACTCGAGAGTTCCCGATTTTTAGACCACTTGAATTATGTTCAATGTTATTTAAAGTGTTAAATATATTTTAATTAATAAAAACTATTTTTAATAATTTAAAAATAAAATAGTTTTTAATGTTTTATTTGGATTATTAAACTAAATAATGGTTAATATTAATTACAATTTATTTGGAAAAATCTTGTATAAGGCTAAGTTTTAAATAAGGTAGAGTAACCATAATGTATATAGTTACTTTATAATGTATATCGATAAAATCTTATTAATAAATTATTTGAACATGTTATATAATTTTAAGTAAAAATATAGTTTATAAAATAAATATATTATATTTTATGATTAAAATATGGTTCTGATGTGATTAACATTTGGATCAATGTGATTAAAACATTTTGGTTACATTAATGAAATTGACAATTGAATACAATGATTATTATTATAAAATATGGTTGAAGTTTTGATTTTAATCAAAGAAATTTCTAATCTCATTCAAAGTTTGTTAAACTTGTCAAAAAATCAAATGACTTTTAATTTATTTAAAAAACAATAAACTTATATTATGAAAACATAATTATGATAAACCAAATATTAAATCGAGAAT